GGCGGGCGGTCGGTCGGTCGGTCGTGCCGTCTGGCAGTCGGACTGGCGAAACAGCGAACAGCGAAACGGCGGCGGCAGCCAACACACAACAAAACAAGTTTCGAGTGGAAATGCGTGTAGCGTGCAGCGTGCGAAACACGGCAGAACATGAACATGGAAGCCTGATGCTGTTACTGGACCTGATGCTGATGCTGATGCTCTTGTCGCAAATGTTGTGTCTAAAAATAGTCTGTCTAGAGGATTGAGAGGGGCGACACGGCTGCGGCCGTTTAGGCCAACATGAAAAATGGCAACACTTTTGCGCTCATAAAAACTATTTATACGCCAGTCTAGAACTACGCAACCGATCATGGCCCAAATGCATCAGCCAACTAATATGCCCGAGCACATGCACAAACGCCAGCGTCAGGGCAAGGCGCATGCGCGTGAGATCTCCACGCAAGATCATCAGTCGAGAGGCAGCAGGCAGCAGCCAGCAGGACTCGAACGACGTCCACACACAGAACCCAGTTTCGGGCACAGGCACAGGCACAGTCCAGTTTGAGGCCGGGACCACACAAATACAGGCACGCGTTCGCTGACAGAATAAAAATTGTTGCGCTTGTGTTTAACGCGCGAACGCGGCGATATCGCGCAGCAGCAGCAGCAGCGGCAGCCGCAGCGTACCTTGTTTCCAAACTGGCTCCCTGGACCACGTCTGCGGCTCAGAGAGAGGGCTCAGGTTAAAGTGGCAGCCAGGCACCGTTGTCAGTTGGCAGCGGCTGCGGCCGTGGTGGCGGTGTCGGTGGCGGGGGTATCGGCCCGATGGTATGGGGCATTGTCGGCTTGCTTAGCTATCACTGAACGATTATCGTGCATTTTAAAATTCTTACGAGTTTCTGCTGTTGTTGTTCAGCCTTTGCCTTTTTATATTGCCCTTTTCACTTCGCTTGTGTGTGTGTGTGTGAGTGTGTGTGGTTGCTCTTTGTGTGTGCAGTTTTCTGTTTTTGTTGTTGTTGTTGCTATTGGTGTTGCTGTTGTTGGGCAGATTGGAATCACGCATGGGAACCACAAGCGCCTTGGCTTTTGTCTGCTCGTCGTCGATGCTTTCGTTTTAAGTCTGCAAACAGAGGACTCTGCACAATAAAACACACACACAGCCTTTAAACACACTTTTATTAATCAGTATTACATGCACATATACATATACATACATATATATATGTGTGTGTTTGTGTGTGTGTATATTTCTATATACTTAAATATTGTATTCATCAATTTGTTAATCGCATAGCATATACATAAATAGTAATCATATCAACAGGCAAACGGGCTGGCTCTCGTTTTTCTGTCATTTTATTTGCTTTCCTTTGCGGCCTTTAAACAGTTTCTCATTCGATATTTGCAAATAGTTGTTAACTAAATTACTACACAAATTTGTTAATATTGCTATTTTCATAATTAATATGTTAATACTCGTACAATCGTTATCAAGTTTAGTTAGGTCTTATTATATGCAATTGATTCGGTTTGCCTCGAAATTCAGTCGAGTCTATTGTTTGCGATAGCTGCTGTCGAAATACATTTACACACAACTATTGATTCTGTCTCTCTATATATCTATATATTAGTATATACTTTAGTTAATAACTCTGCTTAACTACAACATGTGCCTGAGAGGGCAAATTATTGCGCGGCGCGGATTGGCCTCTAAGCTACAATATAAAACTTTTGCCCCAATAAATTGATTTTTTAATGCCTAGACCAGAACATAAATTTAATTGGAAATAGCATTTAGTGCGCTTTGACTGCATTGTTGCTCACAAAATGGTATCAACTTTTAATTTGAGCGATTTATGACTATTTCCTCTGGGCGCTAGATAACTACAGGTGGTTTTTACGACCGGCTGAATCGGAAATCAACATACGTAGATTTGATATTTTCATAATTTTGCTTAGCCTGGACACAAACCACAACAATGCCTTGTGCTAAAGTTTTTGTAGTATCACAAGTCGAAACATTGTAATCAAGAATTGGGTAAAAATTAAAAACCAAATGTTTTTAAATATTGTATGTGTGTATTTGCTTGTGGAGAGAGTTATGCATCTGCAACATAGGTATTTTCATAGATATTCTATATATTTCTTATATAAATTAGAGCCTATGTAAAAGTTCGCTTCTGTAGAGCTGTCTAAATTGTTTCAATAGTTCAGCATTTTGTATAAAAATTGCTAGTAAATGTTTGTTTAGTTGCAAATTTGCCATTTTTGTTTTGCTTTAAACTTTAGTTCACACATTATTATAAAAAAAAAATCATTTGCTTGTTTCCATTTGTTGCTTTGTATTGTGGGCTGGTTTGCATAAAATTGCTTTACATACATAAGTATTATATATATTTAGTTGAGTTTGCTTTTAATTACTGTTAACGGGATTTCCACATTTAAAAATTCCTAATCGGTGTTCAACGTTTGGTTTGGTGTATTAGGACCCTGCCTCTCTACCCCTCTCTGTAGAGCATAAACCGTTAGTTACAGTTTCATTAGCATATTTATATAATTTGTTAAACGTATTAACTATGAAACAACTAGTAGCAAACACTTCATTATTGTACTAATTCTACGTAATTGCCATTTCATATTTTGACCTTTCCACATTGTCGGTGTTTCTGATAGAACTCTTAAGCTAACTATAAATACATTTGATACTTTAGACAAATATATATATATCTATATTTTTTTTTTATTCATTTCTTAATATATTCCTTTTATTTGGCGTACATGAATATTTCATTTTTTTATCTCTTTTCTTTTTCTTTTGTTTGCCTGGCGAACGCTCAATGTATGTGTGTGTGTGTTTCATTTGTTGCTTTTGTTTCTAAATGGAGCTGGAGCATTTTGTTGTTGTTGTTGTTTATTATTATTGTTGTACATCAAGTTTTAGTTAAGTTTAGTTTAATCATTCATTAACTGCTGATTCTGGCGAGAGCTTGCATAAATGTATATTTATATATTTTTGTTCATTCTTAAGTTTTTTTTTGTTTTGTTTTTTTTTTTTCTTTTTTATATATTTCTGGATCACATATTCAAGTAGTTTCAAAATCACATAAAGATCACTCTTACAATAGCGTATACAAAATACATACGTTTTCCATGCATTGTGTGTGTATATATGTCTCAGTTTATTAGTTATCTGATTTGTATTGAGTTGTCATGAAATGGTTTCGTTTGTCTTAGCTGAGATGTGTATTTTAAATTGCTTTGCTAGTAATACGATGTTTGTGCTTGTAGATAAGATTAATGTTTATTGCTATAAATACGTTGTGCCCAATTATTCAGAGTTAGAGAGTATATCGCAAGAGCTTCAGTGTAAGCATTCAAATTTAGCACTCAACAGCTCCATTATAAAACCATTTTTTGTATTTTTTTTTTTGTTTGTTATTCATGTGTGTTTAATGTTCTTTCAATTGCTTTAACTTGTCTTTCCATTTTGTATTGTTATTGTTTCTATTTGTGTTTGTGTAGAACAGTAATAATATTAAAGCATTTAATCGCAACACACAGTAACATGCACATTTAATCATTGTATAGTTCATACATTTATTTTTGGCTACTACATACACACAAAAGCCTTTGCGCTGCTTAGCTAGTTAGCTATCAAATATATTTTCATATCTTTTAATATAAGTATACCTATATGTTATGATTTCATTTTGGGTGTCTATCTGTTTTATTTTCAATAAATGCCTAAGTTTCTGCACGTGAATTTCATTTTTAAATAGTTTACTTTTATGCCCTAAGTGATCAACATGTTTGCCATTAGTTTTATAACTAATAATACGTTAGAGTTCATTATATTTTATATAGATGCTCAACTTTTTTATAAGCTACAATACATACAATACAATACATTAACTTTTTTGCATATGCGAAAAATATTTTGAAGACGGTTTTATATTAGCTTCGGTTAACATTCATCATAGACTGTATTCGCTGTCTTGAGTTACGTTTATTGTTTAATCGTTTACATCACACGCTTCAATTTTTGTAAATATTGTGTATTTAATAATCTTGTACCATCTTAATATTGGCCATTAATATACATTTTTGACTTTGATATATCGTTTATCTGACCATTGACCGGATTTTCATTGGAAGCTTTATATTAATTATAAAAGTTTAAAAAAAAATTAGAAAAAACGTACTTAAAGCACTAAAGAAATCACATAGTAACCTAGTAGCGTATAAAAGTGAAATACATCAAATACAAATTATTTAAAAAGGTGTTTAGTCGGTTCTCTTAGTGTGTAAATGAAATCATTTATGTAACTTCAGTTTAATAGATGCAAAATTGGTTTATAATTGTCTGGCTAATATCCAGACATACGAAAAGTAAAAGTATAGTTTGGGCTGAGAAATTGTACAAACCGACCAATGTCGAAGAACTACGAATAGAAATTGCAGTTTCTACAATTTTTCAATTATTTGTACGCCCATGCAAAGCTTGCCTTAAATTGGGTTTTTCAAGGATCCTTCATCAAAGACGCTAAAACTTGAACCTTGCCTAGAAATCTCTTAATTACAAAATCTTGATTTCTTTATATTTCATTTAAACATATCTATAAAATACATATATTTGTAGTTAGACAATTGGTTTATAAAAATCACTGGTGGTTTTCATTTGTTGTTAGTCAATTTGATTTTTTTCTTTAAGTGTTTTATAGAAGCGGCAAAAATGATCGTCATAAAATATATGAACGTGTACAGGTATTTCATATAATTGTAAATGAATTTATTTGTTTAATTAATACTAGTGAATAGTGACTGCAAGTGTAGCAAATTATGAATACAGATATATAAAAAAAAAGACAATAATATTGCAAATTCGTTTCATACAAAATAAAATGTCATGGACATACGAGAAACTTTGAAACTGTTATGTATACGAATTGTATATATAAACTAAAATAAACACAAAATTAAAAAAATGAAATGAAAATAAACCAAAAATATAAATATATATTAAGAAAATTTCCTGTAGCGTAATTTAGACGAGTAATAAATTTCAAATGCATAGCTGCTTGCTAAACGAATTACATATTTTGTGCCTAGTAATTGCTAATATCCAAGATAATTAATTTGCATATAGAGTAATATAAATAATATAAGTATATATGTAAGCTCTGTCATATGCCAGCCGCGGCATATTTGCTAGACGTTTAACATTTTGCTTACAATTAAAGTTTCTATCATCCATTGTCACTGCGTGAACACGCTCTGTACCAACTAGGCACAGGGGCTCATCCAAAGTTCTGGAGCGCTTAAAACATATTCTATGTGTGTGTTGTGATTACCGGCACCTGACAATAGGGGCACTCGGTAACCGAACCGGCGCATGTATTGCAAATGGACAGATGATTGCAGGGCTCCAAAGTAACGGTTCGATTGTTCTCTTCGCATTTCATGCACTTCTTGGCGTTTTCCAAATATAATACTTTGTCTACTTCTTCCAAATCGGTGCGCAGTTTAGACTAAAATTTGTTTGTTTAACAAAAACCTTAATATATATTTAATATACAATAAAGAATACCTACTTGTAATTGCTTTAGTTTCTGTATGGATAAATCGCGCAACTCTCCGGGTAGATTGAGTTGTATTTGCACTAGATCGTGACGGTCCTTCCATTCCAAGGCTTCCTGTTTGGCTTTATCGCGATGCAGTTCGGCTATTTTTATCTTGCACATGAGCTCCTCAAGTCGTACGGACAGCTTTTGAATCTGCGCATTCTTCGTGAGCAACTCATTGGTCATACGACCCAAATCGGTGTTGTTTTGCGATTGCAGTGATTGCAAGCTGAACGCATTCTTAGCCGTATTCAAAGTGTTCTCAAATAGATTGTTACCCACGGAGCTGCTGTTGATGTCATCACGTATGGTGTTTAATTCGGATATTCTAACTGATGGGCTTATGGATAAGCCATCGCCGAAGCCAGGCGATATAATGCGCGACGGAAAAAACATGCTATTGCTATCGTTTTGCGTAGCAGCCGATAGGGAATTGCTCAGCTTATTGGAGGCGCCATACACATTGAATAGATTGGCATGATTTGTCGGGCTGTATGTGAGCGAGCTGCTGGGAATGTTGACGGCAAAACCACTTGAATTGAAGTCTATATGGCAAAAGAGTTGATAATTGAAATTAGCATGGATCCGATTTTGTACGTTATTACAATGACTCACCGTTAATAGAGTTACTTAGTGTCGTATTAGGAATGTTAATTGGCGCCGAGGAACGTGTTAATAAACTAGTGTTAACCAGACTTGCCGATAGCGAATTCTCGCGTGGATCTTCCAATGTACAGGCTGTTGAAACAATTTTAAGAACAAATTCGTTAGTTTCGTTTCAGTTAGGTTAGACGGGATTTTGCTTTTGCTTTTGTAATGTTCTTTTTTTTTTTTGCGCTATCATTTTGTCCACAACCATCGTTGAAAACAATGAAAAGATCTGTGTAAATATATTACTCACGATGGCTGTCCAGTGGTAGTGAGATATTTAAGATTTTGCTGGAATTAGTTGTATTTTCCAAAGCATCTACAAACATTTTGTTGGTTGTATTATTACCATCAATATTTAATAACTACGAAAAAGAGAATCAAACAAAGAGAGACGAAGAAACAAATGAGAGCGGCACAAAGTTCTCAATGACTTGCAATTTGATGCGGTTAGCTGGATTAGCTCGTGATCGAGTGGGGTTAGATATTGTTAGCGAAGTGCTGGGCGCGCATACACACACATACACACACATTCACACACGCAAGCACACACCAACAAACACACACACACACACACAATATTTAGAAGTGATTTTTGGTGTTGCATTTGGTAATACGTACATTATTGCTCAGTTGGAGCAGTCCTGTAGACAGTTTGCCATTAGCGACCTCATCCTGCATCTTCATACCGGACAAGCCATTGGAAATGAGTTCGCTTAAGGCAATTTCTTGATCGCGCTTCTTCTGCTCGTTGACAAGATAAGCTTGAGGAGGGAACAATGGACAAGCAGCAAAGCGGATTTTGATTGATGATTTTGATATCATATCATTTCAAGGAGTTTACACAAATTTGATTAATGTGTGAGCGTGAGTAAAAGACAAACAAACAATTAAACGATATCAACCAAAGAAACGTACTTAACATATGAACCTAATCTAAACTATAAATATCTGATACAACCGCCCGCTATGGTTGTGGAGAACAGCGCTTGGGTCCCAATGACACTATAGATACTACTGGGGCAAGCCAGAACTACTTACGTTCCACATGCGCAAAGGCGCAGAAGACGCTGCGAGGGCAGTAGCCAGCCTGTTGTACATCGTTGCATTTTGTGGACTTGTAGATTTCCGGATGAAACTGTTGCTCGGTGCGTGTGTGACAATACTGGCAATTGTCACCGGCCTCACAGTTACCCGGTTCGCCCCACTCCTCGCCGTGCTTGACATTGGGACATGGTGTGGACCTAAAAGGGCAATGATTATTGTAATGCATGTGTAACTACGAATAGTGAGCGCAACTTGCCTGTATTTGTACTTTCTGGGCGAGCGACGTTTATCCTTGCTGTTGTGGTACTGTGGACAGGCATAGCCCTGGCGACACAAACGGGGCGGACGCTTGCATGGCTCGGTTTTGTAGTTGGCCAGCACATAGTTGGTGTCCTGCCACTTGGGATCCTCGTTCATTAGGTTTCGCTCCTTATCGAGCGCATTTTGTGCATTGGTACCGTCCAACGATATATCCGAATTCTGCAGTGTCTCCAGCTCTTTGATATCATACACCGGTGGTCGCTGGTCCTGCATGCCGTGCGCAAAAGCGCAGTGAAGTCCATTCTTCACACAATATCCCCGGCTGTCCGTATCGTGCACACACATGCATGTCTTGTAGTAGCGTAAATGGTATCGACGCTCGGTGTCGCCGGCTGTTCGGTGTAGGAAGGGACATCTGTGCGAGAGTGAAAGTGGGTGAAAAAAAAAAAAAAATGGAATGAGCAATGTCAAGTGACGCAAAAAAGGACCTAAACGCGTGCTAAAAATAGCAGGGCAGCAGCTCATTCCCCACCTACAGTTAAAGCAGCAGTAAAACCTGGGGCAAACCACAAATACATACATACATGCACATTAACACATACACACACACACACACACACACACACACACACACACACGTACACACAATTCAAGTCTAGGTCAGAATTGTTGTTGTTTGTTATTGCAGAAAATGGAATTGCGTATTATTTTGTTGTCGCTCTCCTTCATGCACAGCCGTTCGTTGCTTAAAGCTTTGAGGGAAAGCTTTGCTCAATAACTGTACATTTTCAAAGTGCCTCTGCTGCTGCTGCTGCCGCTGCTGTTACTACGACGACGACGCCGGGGGAAAACCAAAATAAACTGAAGGAAATACGCGCAAAAGCGAAACGCAATAAAAACAATGACGCACACACTTGTAGCAGTTATAACTGCTGCTGCTGCGCATTTGAGAGTGTGTGCGAGAGCAACAACCCTCAGTTAGGCAAACGCCGATTAGAATTTCCGAGCTCGAACAGCTTTATCGCTTAAATCACTTTCACTTTTGCATTTTGTGGGTGGCTGGCGGCGGTGACCTCGTTGTAGGGTGCGCCTAGCTTACCCACGCACACATAGGCACCTTCATACAAGCAAACGCAATCAATTTCACTTTTAGCTAGTTGACGTTATTTTGCCACTTCGCACGCCCGCGAAAAGTTTTTGTTTGTAAACACGAAGCCAAGAGATACACACACATTGCAAAGAAAATTGAGCGCAAAGAGGAAACGAAAAAATACTACGTCGTTGTTTGTTCGCGTTGGCGTCTTGACATCACACACAGCGAGACGACACAATTTGCCTAGGATGGATACTCACTCATCGCCTTCGGGACAGATTCCAGTTGTTTCATCATATTTGGTGCAATAATTATCAGCGCTGTAATTAAATGTGCCATCGCGTTTACGTACTGGCCGTCGACGACGCTGATTTTGAAAATGCCAATTGAAGCAAACGAAGGGGCGATGCTGGTTGCATTTGTGCTGCAGGAACGACTGGCATTGCTCCACGCGGAACTCCTTCAGGTAGCTGATCAAGCAAAGAGTTTCAGTTAGCCAAAAACATACTAATTGCACTTTAAACTCTGTTTATTTACGTATAATGACTGGTTTTTTCTTGGTGTGAAGACAGTAGTAGTTTGCTCGCATCGTTCGCCATCTTGAACTGAAGCACCAAATCAGTGAGACCGCATACCAATAAGCGCGTAAATGCTCGTTTTCAAGAAAAGCATTTATCGCTGTTATCGATAGTCAACGATTGTGCTGCACGTGTGGTCGATATGTATAAGACTTTCATAAAACTTATTTGTTTCGTTACAACCACCGCGTTACCCAGGCGGGTCCTGTCTAACAATGGCTGCAGCGCTGCCTGTGCGGGAGACTCCGCCTAAAAAACACAGCGACTGTCTTGCCTATCTGCAGGTAAGCTCGCCGGCTGCTTTAATTGCTTATTTTTGCCTAATTACTGCCTGCAATCAACTATTCACAGTCGTTGGGGGATGCGTTGCCCAAGGAGGTGGCCGACCAGCTAGCTGCCCAAATTATTGAGGAGGCAAACAAGCCGGACACGGGCAGCATCAATCAGGCCGCGCTGAATGTCACCTTCCGCGTCTACTATCACATCGTGCACAAATACGAACTGCCGGATGAACACTTTGCAGATCTGCCCCAGCGACTGTGCTGTGAGCAGCCGCAGGCTTTTCTAATGCTGCAGGCTGTGCTGCTGACCGACCACTGGTCGCGACTGGATGCGCAGCTAATTGAGGCCAAGTGCATGGATGCCCTTATTGCTACACTGCAGCATAACAGCAGCAGCAGCCTTGTTCATCAATTGAAGGCTACCAATCTGCTGGTGAAGAAGTTTCCCAAGCTGGAATTGCTCACGTTGCAGCTGGAGCACTTCTACCACTGCCTGCAGCGTCAGAGCCAGTTGGGCTCGCGGGAGGAGACACTTACGCTCTTCAATCACTGCTGCAAACAGCAAAAACGCGCTTTCTGCTATTTCCGCCTCATTGTTGGGTTCTGGCCATGGACGAATCGCAACAAGTACTATCTGCTGAGCGGCATACTCAACTCCCATGGTCTGCCAGAGCTGCTGGCTGCGAGCGGTCAAAGCGAGGCAGAGTTTTTTGCTGGGCTGCGTCTGAGCCTCAGCTACAAGGGTCTGCGTGCGGCCAGCCAGTATCCGGTGAAGAGCCTGAGCAGCCAGCGCTCATCCGCTCTGCTCGCGCTAGCTGTGGAGCTGCTGGTGAATGGCAGCGTAGCAGAAATCCAAAACTTCCACTCGCAGTGGTTCCTGCGCATACAGCAACACGAAGCGCTGTTCCAGCTGCTGCAGGCCAAGCCGGAGATAGTCGAGTTCCTGGCCAGCTCGGAGGCGGCACGTTCGGCCAGCGAGCAGCAACGCCTAATACTCATATTCAGCATGTTCGCCAAGGAGATCTATGCGGCATCCAAGCTGCATTTCTTTAAGATTAGCACAGAACTGTTGACCAACTGCAGCGCATTTGAAACGGATTCCCAGCTGTTGATCTTTAAGTTTCTGGTCGAAAATTTGTCCAATTTTGCTGTAGAGGATTGCCTAGAGTTCTTCTACAGCTTTATGCAGCGTCATCGCGGCGTGGAAAGCTCCGAGTTTCGCAACACAATGCTGGGCAAAATGCCGAACATTATCAACCACACGGCCAAGCACTTTAATAAGGTCCTAAAAGTGGATGGCGGCACAGGCAGCGATGCACTGGCTCACGACATTAAGCGATTCTTCCGCCAGCTACAGGAACTGCTCGAGCAGGACATGCTTTGCGATGTTTATCAGCCGAAAATATTCGCGCTAAAAATGCTCGAGATTCTGCACAAGTCGCTGTACAGCGCGCAGGTCACCAAAAATGCAAAAATGTGCAGTACCCAACAAAACCAGCAGCTGGGCTCCTTTCTACTGGACCATGGTGTCTTTCAGCCGAGCAACGTGGCCCAATTGTTGTTCAAGTCTCTCAACGATCCCCAAGGCTTCGACGATGCGCTGGAGCTGACGGTTTCACTGCTCCTTCAACTGGGCCATGTTGACACCCAGCAATGCAACGAGCGCTGCCTAACGCTCTGCACCAGCTCCGATGTGGATGAGTGTGCTCTGGTCACGCTCTACGCGCAGCTAATGGTGCGCAGCTGTCCCGATCCACAGCTGGCCAAAGCACTCTACGATCAATGCCTGCAGCAATTGACGAGCAAATTCGACGCATTCCAGCACGATCCACTGCAGACCACAAAGTGTGCTGGCGGGCATCTATTTGGCCACATTCGCGTCCTGGACGAGCTGGTCAGCGGCGGTAGTCGTAGACCCGAAGCAGCTGTCGTGGAACTATTGCCGCTGCTCGAACGTATACTCAATGTTGTTCTGAAGTTTCTCAATCTGGCCAATGCCAGGCGCGATGGAGCGGACGAAACAGCTGCCAGTTTTCAGGATATGGACGAGAGCCTGCAGCTCTTGGTCAGTGAGAGCGTCTACGAGGCGCTTGAGGATGCCGAAGCCTGTCGCAAGTATTTACTAATGAGTTTCTGGCTGACATTGAAGGTACCTAAATTGAACAAGCCGTGCGCCGCCTCAACTAATCCTCTGCTTTTTTAGGCTAGTTGTGACCTGGCCACCAGCTTGGGCTCAGCGCTGCCCCGTTCAACCAAAAGCGCGCCTGACTACGCAGCTCTGCAGCGCTGCTTGGACATTAATGTGGCTGTGTTGACTCGTTGCCGGCACAAGGGCGCCATTGAGGCTGCTGGCCTGAGCATTGGCAAGCTAACGCGCACTATAACCGGCACGCTAGCTGGCGAGGATCAGGGCTTTCAGCTGCTGCACGATTGCCTGGAGCGGCAACTGCTTTCCGAGTGCCGCCAGGTGAGCACCACGCGGCGCGGTGCTGGTTTCGCAATCATGTTTTTGCATGTGCTCAAAAATGACGATCCGCGCCAGCGTTTGCTGCTGCATCGCGCCGTGCAGCGCATACTCGAGCGCCTAAACGGAGCCTCCAACAGCGACGCATCCAACAGCAGCAGCAACCACGATCGCTGGGAGGCCTTGGCGCTGCATTATCTGTGCGTGCTGGTGCGCGACACGGAGCTGCGGCCGGCCATGTGCAAGTACTACGACGAGATCATGCTGGTGGCCATAGCGCACATCGACAACACCGAGTGGACCATTTCGAATGCCGCGCTGCAGCTGTTCGGCGCCACGCTCGGCAAGCTGGTGGGCCAGCGACAGGCGACGGAGTTTGAAACGAAGCTCGCCTGGGAGCCGAGTGAGATGAATTACGAGGAGCTGGCATGTCTGCTGCCGAAGGCCTGTGAGCACATGCTACGCTGCTGCAATACTGACAAGGTCACCTCTTCGATTATACTGTTTCTGGGCTTCCTCTCCAAGGTGGAGCATCTGTGCACCACGGGCCAGCCACAGCAGTCCACTCAGCTGCTGCAACGCTTCCGTCGTCTCAGCTGGCGTTTGCTGCGGCACAAATGCGAGCAGGTGCGTCTGCTGGCTGCCACCTGCTTTGTGCGCGCCCACGATTTCCGGCGCGATCTGCCGGCGGTGCTGCTGGCCAGCGCCAAAATGGCTGCGCAACTGCAAGAGGACAACTTCTACGAGGCGTTGCTGTACACCCTGCAAGCGGGCGTGCTCAAGCTGCAGCACGAGGCGCGTCATGTTTGGACGGTAGCCAGGCTGCAGCAATATCAGCTGCAGCTGCTGACAGCTCTGGGTGTCACCGAGCAAGTGGCTCGCTTCAAGGCTTATACGCTCAAAGTACTGCTGCAGTTGCTGCAGCTCTTGGGCGCCGCAGAGCAGGCGGACGTAGTGCGTCAGCTGCTGGACGGGCGCGGCAGGCACGCACTAAGCTAAATTTATGTATCTGGGTTGTGCTTATCTAGCTGTAGCATTTATCTAATCTTTAAGCATAAGCCAAAAAGTCAATGTTAGTCTAGAATTCTCGTAACGCTCGCTTTTACAACTAAATGACGCATTTACTAATTGAAAGCATTTTACCAAAAGAAACAGAGAAAAACAAAAACAGAAAACTTAACTAAAAGGCCTTCAGCTGAAGCCCTCGCCCGTTTCCTGCTCCATGGCCTGCTGCTGTTTCTCCTGCGTCTCCTGGGCCATTTGCTGCAGCGTACGGCTGAGAATGTTGCGCAGAATGTGCGGCTTGCAATGCTCCTCCAGCCATGGTATGACGCCGGCGGTCAGCTGCTTGAAGTTGTCCATGGGTATGCTCTGGAATGTCTCAAACATTTCGTCCAGTATTGCCTGAAACTGTGCAACGAGAGTCAATTGGCATCAATAGCATATGTCGATTCTGGGAATGCTAACCACTTGAAATTTGGCCTCGTCTGTGAGGCGCGCCTCTTCGGGCCCCGGATTGGCCTGCTGATGTTGCAGCATAGTCTCGTAGCCGTTCTGTATGATACGCAGTGCCGTCACCTCTTTTTGCAGTGCCGCACTCTCGTCCTCCTGCCTGATTTTCTGCTGATTCAGATAGCCAATGTACTCGATAGACTTTTGCAGTATCAGCGCTTTGCTCAGTTTGTAACCGGACGAATCGTTTGGCTGACAGCGCGGCACCAGCTCCTGCAGGCTGTCGTAGCCCTTCTTGATCGCATCACGACGCTTCTGCTCCGCCTGCGTGTGCGCCGAGCGCCTGCGCTCCTTGTAGCTCAGCGTCGAGCTCGCGTTTATGGCGCCCGATTGTCGCGCATCGCCGCTATCGTCGTCATCATCTGTTCGGGGGTAAACAGACAGAGACAGGTCGTGTGGTGTAATAAAACGCTGCTCGCTGATAGTGGATACCAGGAACAGTAACAGTAACAGCAACAGCAACAATAACAATGGCAAGGGAAACTCAATGCCAGCATTATCAGCTGTTCGTCACGCTGCGAACGCGAAAACAAACAACAAACAAACAAATTTGCAACGGCGAACAGAATTTACCAGAATTGTGTGCCGACGAGTTGGGTGTGTGGGTGCTGCCTGCGCTGCTGCAGCGGGAATAGTGCTTGCCACTCTGTTCTTGATCTTGCTCCATGTTGTAGGCCTCCTCTTTGCTGATCTGGTTGTCACTCATTATCAACTGCGTTGTGACAAAAACAAGAGCATTTTAAGTTGTCTGGTTCCGTAATAAGAACTAGTTCATTGTGTGGCGGCCGGTCGATAGGCGTTATATTGGTATTTCTGACTGAGCGTTGCCAGCAAATATACTGCAAGTAGTGACAGTGTCTTCAATTTATGTTTTAAGCTAAGTAGATGATAAATGTATTTTACTTTAGCTGGTAAGCAATACAAATTTACAAGTTGTTTGCCACTTGATGTGCTTAAGAGTTTGTTAAGCGACAGTCACTGGCTATCAGCATACATCGCTCATATCTGATACCCGGTTTAGATATTTGTTTGTCTTGCAGCCCTGGTTCACTGCACCGGTGCGATGACTTTTAGATTTTCGTGTTGAACTTTGCCGTCGTGTCGCTTTTTAGTTTTTCTTGGCCCGTGCTGCCATTTACTATAGATTATATTGTTTAATTAGTGGAAAGGGCGGGTCCAACACATACGTACGTAGCCATGGGTCTGCTGAAGGCGTTGCGTGTGAGGATCATGAATTTCATGATTTTCTTTCTAATTATCATTTTGCTGCCGGGTCTGCCCCCACGCACCACTTTCCCCTATAAAGATTTCACGTAAGTTAATGCCAACGATTGAATTGCTTGCAATAACCAATTCCATATAGCGTTGCGCCGCCCAAAGAACTTAAGGGCGCCCTTGAGTCCAACTTTCACCTGGAGGGCGCTGAGCGTTTGCTGGAGAACCGCGTCTACGGCCCAGAGTGCCTAATTGCGCGCAACAATGAGATCTACACTGGCCTGCATGGCGGTGAGGTCATCAAGTTAACCTCGAACCACGTCACGCATGTGGCCAAGTTCGGCCAGCCCTGCGGTAAGTCTTATGCCTTGCATTGGGCGAATTTGCTAAAGACCAAAGCTTCTTGCAGCGGAAGTCTATGAGGAGGCGCAGTGTGGTCGTCCACTGGGCATGGCATTCGACACGCAGGGAAATAATCTGATCGTTGCCGACGCCTACTATGGACTGTGGCAAGTTGATCTGACCACGAACCAAAAAAAACTATTGGTGTCGCCGGCTCAAGAGTTGCCTGGCAAGAACATTAATCGTCGTGCCAAGACCTTCAATTCTGTGGCAGTCAGCAAAGAGGGCGAGATCTACTGGACCGACTCTTCTTCAGACTTTACCATTCAAGATTTGGTCTTTGCCTCGTTCGCCAATCCGTCTGGACGGTGAGTTCATTTGTCTATTTCAACGGACGGCTGCTGTCGAAACCGGTTTCTGATCTAACGGCTCTCTATCAAATGTTTTCTCTTTTTTGTAGTCTATTCAAATACAATCGGGCCAAGAATGTGAGCGTGGTTCTGCTGGACGAGCTGTTCTTTGCCAACGGTGTTGCGTTGAGCCCAAACGAAGACTTCGTCGTGGTCGCCGAGACGGGCGCTATGCGTCTGACAAAGTATCACTTAAAGGGCGCCAAGGCTGGCGAGAGCGAGGTCTTTGTAGAGGGCTTGCCCGGCTTGCCCGATAATTTGACGCCCGACGCCGAGGGTATATGGGTGCCTATTGTGTCAAGTGCCGATAGCGAGCATCCCAACACCTTCTCGCTCTTCTCACGCTTCCCCAGCATACGTCTGTTCCTGGCCCGTATGCTAGCGCTCTTTGAGCTGCCTTTCCGCTACATTAATAGCGTGTATCCCAACAAATTCTCGCAGCGCTTTGTTCACTTTGTGGGACATGGTGAGATGGCCATGCTGCTGGCTCCCAAGCGCACCACTGTGGTTCGCGTGGACTGGAATGGCAATATTGTGGGCTCGCTGCATGGCTTCGACAAGTCCGTTGTGGGCGTTTCACATGTGCTGGAATTCCAAGATTACTTGTATCTGGGCTCGCCCTTCAATCAATATTTGGCACGCGTCAAGTCTCCAAAGGCGGCCAAGCAGCCAACCGTTAAAGTGCGCAATGTGCGCGTCGAGGGTGAGGGTCTGGAGGCGTCCGTCGGTGCACCGCCATCTGCAACTACTGCCAAACCCAAGGCAGCACCAAAACCCAGCACCACCACCACGACTACGACCACCACCACACAGAAGCCACAGACTACCACTACCAAGAAACCAGCGACGATAACAACTACGACAACTGCCAAGCCAAAGACCACCACGGCTAAGCCAAGCACAACAACAACAACAACAACAACTACAACAACAACGACGCCCAAGCCGGCAACAAAGAAACCAACCACCACAACAACAACAAAAACAACCACCACCACACCAAAGCCAGAAACAACAACCACAAAGCGCAAAGTGCCAAAACAGCCGGCGCCTATAAAGGAAGAGATTCCTGGAGACACCAAGCTACCGCAAACGGAAAAGCTTAAGGTGATCAACAAGCAGGGCTCCCACGTGGAGCTCTAAGAGCGGCTCCACTGTCTTGAGTTCTCATTTTTGCGGCAGTTCTCTTGCCTTTCTCGCAAATCGCCGAAAAAAAAAAAAAAAACCTAAAGTCTCATGCCCAAACAAACACTCAGGCCAAGGCCAGTTAATAATTTAGTTTGAAACTAGTTAGTTAAATTTTAACTAGCTGCAAGCGTTAACTGAAAAATCTGTTTGTTTAATGCAGCTATTTATATGTCGCACAACCTGCATATAATTGAGTTTTGCTATAATCAACCGTTTTCAATTACGAAACATTCCCAATTGTGAAAAGCATTTGCATTCCAGTTAAATTCACATTACTTGACGACAACAAGTACGCTCACTATTTAAACAATATCCGAAACTGTTGAGCAATTAATAGACACTTAATTCCAAAATGAAAATACTTTTCTTATTGTACTGATCTTTTCTGTATTTCACTTAAAGAGTAAAGTGTTTTCTAAAAACGACTTAAGTATAAATTATGCATATGTAAATATTATAAAATTAAGTATAAATAGTGAGAGTGTATGCGAGCGGATGAGCTCTGAACGGTGTCTAGCACTTTGGACGACTTGGAGGCTCCTTGGGTTCCGTCCAGCTCCAGTCGGTATAGTGCACACAACGTCCGAGCTCCTCGGAGTACAGTTGGGATTTCGGGCAGCGTTGCAGGCGGGCGCGCGTGCCCTGCTTATCGCACATCCAGTAAGCCGTGGGATCCCAGAAATTACGGAACATGCGATTCACTTCCTCCAGACCCTGACAGCCGGGCTCGCCATTGTGCTCATGGTATTTGTACTTTTGTATGGGTAAGTGGGCAGTGGCCATTTTTTTATATATATATATATATATATTTATTTGGTTTTTCTAAAAAGTGGTGTAAAAACATTTGTAGAAAATAATTTTAATATTGAAATGTACAAATATTTCGCTGCCTGGGTGCCACATTTTTGTGTGCATTAAATTTAGAAAGTCTCTGTGCTTACCTCTAAATAGGATTTGTTGCCTCGGAATTTCCCCTGACAACGGAAATATGTAGTGCTTTCTATTTAAATTCTTATGCCGAGTGAGACGTTTGCCGCTTCACAATTAGTGCGATTCTGACTATTCATACCGAATTATTTCCCATTTAAATACTTTTCGTATGAGCGACAAGCGTTTAGCGGGGCGACGCGGGGCCGGTTTGCATTAGTAATAATGTCTGTCTGATGGGGCCGATCGACGCGCTGCAATCATCGTCTCGTCGGGGGCCAAAACGACTTACTTTTATCTACAAAACTAACAAAATGCCTACGTCCGCTCGTTGCGGCCGCCCTCCTCTCGCGCACCTCCCCCCACCCCCACGAACGATCGGCGTGTCGGTCGAGCGGACGGATTGGTCATACGTTCGCTGGGACTGTGTCACGCGTTGTTCCCGTGTTCGGGGAATACGCCAAAGCGAGAGTTTGCATGCTGACATAATAGGCACAGACATTGGTGAAAAAGCAGCGTATTATTAAGCGTATTCGACGGCGCGATACCCTGTATAAAGTTGTATCTTAATATTTACGGTGGTTCGATTCTTTGCTCGAATTAGCGCCCCGTCTCAGGGTTCCAATTTCAATAGAACTGTTCCGTTTATTATTAATTTAATATGCTATATTTTTATTGATTCGGATTATTTATTTATTTTTTTGCTCTTTGAACATCGAACCCGGTTTAATGTTCGGTTCATTGTAAATAAAATATTTAAGTTCCGGGTTCAAATCCAGAGTTGTGCGAGTATGTGGTCCGAAGATATGCCCAAGGCGAATTGCGCAAAATGTCAGAACAACTTGTTGATTCGAGGGTATGCAGAGTGGAAAATACCAAGCGCGTGTAGGCGGTTCGAGCTATTGAATATAATATTATATGCATATATATCAGTGCTATTGCAGTTTATAATCCAGACGTGATATATTTTATCCAATATCGGATATAGGGTATAAGAAATCGCCGCTTGGCAACGAGCTGTGCGCAAAGGTCGTTGGCAGCGTGCGATTTCAATTTGTAAATTCAACTTTGAGTTGCGTAATTAAACAGCAGACGCAAAACCATTTGAGGCCAGCGCGTCATATTTATAAAATGTAAACAGGCGACTAATTAATCCAACTGAGATCACGCTTGAAAATTAAAGCGTCGGGCCCCTCTTTTTTTTTCCCCAGTACTTTTCCCCCCGACCAGCTTTGACGTATACAAAACTGACTTATCAGCGCAAAGGTCTCGCATGTACTTGAAATTTCTGAGACTTTCATTGATTGAACGCCTGCAAACAAACCTCTGCACGTGATCGGCAAGTGGGAGGCAGAATAAGTCGGCCGATTGCGTGCATACTATATGATAATTATGTACGGGTCGCACACGCGGGCAACAGCTGGTTGTGCCTCGGACTCACGTGGCCTGCGTGAAAGACTCATTGACTCTGAAAATATGGTGTGTGTAATAAACTAGGCATGAAGTTAGCTGATTAGCGAAATAAGCTCGTGTTGTTTATCTCAAGCAATGCGAGACTTTCGGTTTGTTAAGAAAACAATTAACAAACTACAAAACGCTGAAATTTATTTTTACGCACTTTGTGATCTTTTTTTTAAGCAAAGCTAGGCATATTCTCTTATGTTAGATTCTGAGTTAATCCAATTACTATAAGCATGCTGAGTTTTAGTTAGACTTCCTGCCTTTTCAATCAATCAAACAAATTGGCCAACCCGCCTGAACTTTGCATACGTTTCCAACTGATAACACGCTTTTTATACCCTCAACCCATTAAAAATGGTTGTAAGGGTATATTGTATTCCAAATCCAAATGTATTTAACAGGCAGAAGGAAGCATCTCCGATCCCATAAAGATATATACTTTATCTTATCTTATCTTATTTATTCTTGATCAGCACCAATAGCCGTGTCGATCTAGCCATCTGTCCGTCTGCCTGTCTGTCCGTCCGTCCGTCCGTCCGTCCGTCTGTCTTTCTGTCCGTCCGACCGTTCGTCCGTCCGTCCGTCAGTCCGTCCGTCCGTCCGTCCGTCCGTCTGTATGTATGAACGCAAGGATTTCAGAACCTATTAGAGCTAGAGACTTTTCTTATGTATGTGCTGTGCTGCTAGATGTATGTGCTGCTAGTGCCTGCGCAGATCGAGTTTATTTCCGATAATCGATAACTTATTCCGCTTGCAAGCAATCGATAAAAATCGATATCGATATCCTGTTTTTTGGGCAATTTTGGTAAATAATAAGAGCTAGAGTCACCAAACTTGTCATATAGCTTCTAAAATAGAATATATATATGCATTTGATGTTGGAAGAAGAGGGTTCAGGGTATCCCCTAGTCGGGAGCTCCCGACTAGAACCTCTTGTTTTTCTATAAATTATATACCCTTTCGATTTCAAAGCTGTTTAACATTGGCTAGCATACACTTTCAGTAAGCTCTAAGGTAAAATTCTACAATTTTTTAAGAAAGACTATTTACCTTATCGGTAGGCTCTTGAACTACAGGGTATCGCAAATATTCGCAGGCTCTTATTTGAACTTATTTTAAAGACAACTTTTATCAACTCTCTTAAAACATAGGGTATTCTTATTTGGGTGTTTCTTAAATATACTCAATTGGAAATTATTGGAGCTTAATAGACTCACTTGAAAACAGGCCACAATTTAGAGGGTATCCCGGGTTAGCTTTACTTTTAATAATGCTTACTTATAAAACCTGAAGCGTAATAACGCAACAACTACGTCATGTGAGAAATAAAAGTGTATTGATGAATTACTTCAGAAGAAATCGACGCTTGCAATGATGACGAGGCGAACAATGAATCGCTCCGTTGCGTGCCGGGTATCAATTATGCTTTAGGGCTGTAACAAAAGCGCGACTCCTGCCAATATCCACTTGGCTGGGCGGTCGCGTGTTTTAAGGTTGAGGGTCCAGACGTAGGTGTTGCCACGCGACCTGCAAGTGGAAGAGAGATTAAGTAAATGGTTGCGGCAGATCTAGCTGGGAGCAGTTCAATTGTCACCCACCTGGTCTTGTACAGTGGACACTCATAGACGCGCTGCAGCTCTTGTTTCTCCTGCACAATGGACTTTATAAAGATCACTGGCATGGCACAGAGCAGCTCCTTGGGATGCAGCGCCACAATGGAGTTCAGCTGACAGTCCCAGCTGGCGCCGTCCAGATAAAGCTCGTGCACATAGGCGCCTTCAACAGGTGGCAAGCTAAAAGCAGGAGAGTGTGGATAAATATGAGCTGTTGGGTTCAGCCAAGCTAGTTACGTGACGTCGTCCTTTTGCTTTTTGGTCACTTCACAGCTGATGAGCATGCGATCCAAGGGCAGATCATGCTTTCGGGCGCTCTCCTGCATGATGGCCGTGAGAAAGCTCTGCGGATTGAACAGGCCACCCAGCCAAATGGCGCAGGGCAGCTTGAAGTCATTTAGCCAACCGGCCAGCTCCTTGATGCGATGCAGCAGATCAGCGAACCAGCCCTGCAGGCCCAGCATGCTGGGGTACGCCAGCTGGGCCCAGGCCGTCGGCACATGATCATAGAAAATGGCATAGTCCAGACGCTCCATTTCCTGTGTGATGGTCAGCTCGCCCTTCAGGCCGAGCATTAGTTCGCGCAGGGAGCGTTTGATCTCCCGAATAAGCGCATTCATGCGCTCGCATTCCTGTAGCGCAACGACCACAAAAGGCGTCTTGCGTTCCACGCGATTCAGCAGCGCCTGCAGATTGAACTCGTCCTGCAGCTTGTCGAGGAAGTCGTCAATCATGATTTTGACCAGCTCTTCGCGCGGTGCACCGCAGTGTGTGCTCAGCTCCGATTCGCGCGGCTGCAGCTCAAAAATGGTGCGCAACAGCTGCTCAGAGGCGCTTGTAAGGAACCCGATTTCAGCATTCGGATGCAGTCCATAGAGCAGAGGCGACTCTTCGGGCAGCATCTCAGTGATGTAGTCATGATAGCCCTCAAATTCTAGATTGGGCGGTGCTGGAAAGCCGGGACATAGCTCGAAGTCACCATCGATGAGATCCTGCTGCAGCAGCTCCTCCAAAAACGTCTGGCACAGCCGTCTGTCCCAGTCATCGGTTATGTGGCCACCGTACATAATTTCGCCAAAGAGATAGCGCAGATCCTCCCACGGTATGCGATTGCTGCCCTCCAGATAGTTGTGCAGCACGCTGGCCGAGATGGTCAGGTCGCCAATGTTAAACGGATACACCTTGTTCCAGCCCTGAGGTCCGAACTTGCGGCGCTCGCCGGCCACTGCATGAAAGTAGCAGAGGGCAAAGAGTATGGACTTGAACTCGGCTTCTTGGGTGCACGTTTCTAGCGTATCCTGCGAGAAATTATCCCAGGCCTTGTGCAGGTTGGCGGCCATGCCCGCGGGCGGTTCATTAACCACCTTCAGTGAGGACTCCAGAATGCCCTGTGGTATGACATGGTACTGTGGATCAGGAGCAGGTTCGGCGCTAATAAACAGACGGAAATTGGAATCACCTTGAGACTCCGACTGCAGCACTATACGCTCGATAAGTTTTTCCAGCGTTGGCAACCAGTTCACCACCAGATGAATATTTTGGAGTATGACCCATTGCTGGCCCGAGGCTAAGGCCTGCTCAATGGCTTCCTCGGCCAGCAGCTCCTGTCCCTGCCCCAGTGAGATATTTATCAGAGTTCCGGCATCCGCATGAAAACCCTGTTGTTGCCCATGTCGCTCCACATCGCGTATGGGGTCTACGCCAGGTGAGAGTATAAAGAAGGCGGGCGTGGCCGCATTTAGCTCCTTGAAGATAGCCACAAAGGGCGGGGTTTGCACTTCGGCATAGGCGCGACCCATTGTCTGCTCCACAAACTGGGCCATGGCATAGGTCATGCGATCTGGCCGCAAAGCTCTCACAATGCAGAGCTTCTGCAGTGGAGAGCGATGCTTCCATTCGCCTGGGAACTGCTCCCGCTCTGGCGCATCGCTGGCCATGAACTTGCGCCAGCGTTTCGTGTAGTTCTCCATGTCCTTGTCGATGCCATAGAAGTGCTCGACGAGCGCCAGCGACTTGATGCCGCCCCAGGCGCTACGTCCCACAAAGTCCAATGGTGACAGCGTGTTGGGATCGTGCGGATAGCGCAGCAGAAAATCGGTCTCATCCTTGGCCACCTGCTCGGCGGCAATCATAATGCGCAGCGTTAGATGCGAGGTGAATGTCAGCTTGTCCGCCTCAAAGAGACCGCGTAGGGTATAGCGATAGGTTTGCAGGGTTATCGAGTCCACCAAATGGAGCACGCGCTTCTCGTAGCTCTTTGAGTCAGGCGCCACGGCAATGGCCTGGCGAAAGACATTCATGAACGACTTCAGTGAGAACTTGTATATAGGATTGATGCGATTGAGATCCGTAAGCACAAAGTATAAAATGGCAGCTCGCTTGGCCGCGGCACGATATATGTTTCTGGTTTCGTCAATTTGCAACGTGGTTAGGTGAGCTTCTCGTACCTTGGATTCAATTTCGTCGACAGTGCGCTTGGTGTTCTCCAAATTGAGGACCAGCGCATGATCATCGAGCACATTCTCGCCGGCCGAGGCCAGTCTGGCCAGCAGTTCATCCTCGAGTGCCTTTAGCGAGATTTTGAACATGTTCTGCTGGATGGTGACATCGGTTTTCATTTGCTCCAAGTCCGGCCGCTCAATTTTGACCACTTCCGCCAGCAGCTGCTCCTCGAGGCCGTCCGGTGTCACCGTGAAGTTAATTAGCGTCGTCTGCGCCTGCATTTCCGGCTTGTAGTGCGGATTTGCCAGCTTGGTGTGCAGTATGAGTCGGAAATTCGGATTGAACTCCATTTCCTTTTCGCCAATGCGCAGATAACGGCCCTTTTTAATCAGCGCGCGACTCAGCAGCGGCTCCAGCACGGTGTCCATGGTCTCTTCGATTTGCTCAATGAGCACCGTGTCGCCACGTGAGATGGACTTCTCCAGTGCCTCTAGAAAACCGCGCTGGGTGAGACGCAGCACCACCAGAGCGGCTCCAAAGCGGCTCTTGATCCACTTAATGCCCTGACTGGAATGCAATTATTAGCTACTCATTAAATGCTACTGCTGGGTGTATATAGCCCATGTTCTTATGTTTAAATCAGTCTCACATTAATAGATTAATTTTTTTTTTAATCCTAGTAAGTAACTAACTCTTTCAAATAGCCTTTAATTTCATTGCCATTTTTATAAGTACATTTCATTGACACCTACACAAATAATAATCGGAAGAGGTCAGGCTAACAGCAGATTTTTTAGAATTCTTGCGAATTTGCTTCTGACCTCTTTTGAAAAATATTCCTTTAAAAGAAAGGAAGTGTCCCCTCCCCGTCCAATTATTGGAGCGTCCGGTTATGAGAATGTATTTAGTATGGAAATAATTTGGGAAGCATTGCGAATGGGCGTCTACGAATTGAGCAGTGCCTAATTTATTATTTTTTGATAAATATCGATTATAAATCTCATTAAAAAAAAAGGCTGTGAACACCTAATCTCGTTCCGCTCTCCATATGGACTTTGGTATGTGTACATTTTAGTTTTGTGACAAACCTTCCTTTAGATCCCAGAAGAAACAATACAGCTTTTTAGTTATATAGCCCATAAATACCAAGTGTATCCGCTGCCTAAAGTTTAGATTAATTTTTCCTTTTTTTCTATGCATACCTATAAGAACTTATTATAAAAGGAAATATTACAATATTGCGAATCAGACTATAGGGCATCTAAGAGTCGGTCGTCTGCGACTCGCAACTTTCGCTCTCTGTGCTATATTACTTTTAATGCCAAAATTATGGTACTCACAGCTGTGGATCAATCATCAGAGGCCAGCGCGTTGAGTGCTGCAGTATTGTTGCATTCTCCGTAGACATGCCGTCCATGGGCAGACCCTCGTTATTCCAGGTGGCAATTTGTGCATCGTCCGATAGCAGCGCCAGCGGGTCGACTCCCTGAGTGTGCGGTATCTGGGGCTGTTGTGGCACAGACAAAGTGAGCCCAGTTAAGCCAAGCATTTAGAGAGCAGCAAGCACTTACGTCCATTTTGCAAAAGCTCGGCAGCCACATCTTGTGCTGCAGCTCCTCGCGATAGCGGCGCGTAAAGCAGCCCACGTACGACAGGAACGAGGAAATTAACAGTATATCTCCGGGTAGGGTGCCAATCTTTGCCTGTAGACTTTTGAATAGAATTGTAGAAAACGAAAAACGTGAAAGTTGACCTGCTAAACGGTGGGGCATTAATCCATCCCTTAGCGACTTTAAATTGTGCTTCAAGTATAAATTACAAGTGCAGCAGGAAACTGAAGGCTGCTCGTCGAGCATCCATTGCATTTGAATAGACGGGAAATTGGAAAAATAATAACATTGAAGAGGGCTTAATGCGAGGGCAGAGCAATAAGTCTGCCCATTGATAGACTATAATAGGTTCGAAGAGTTACCTAGATATTGGATACTGCATGAAACGAATAAACTCGTTTTCCCTCAGGGATTACAGCATACAAAAGGTGGCCAATAAATATTGTTTCGTGTTTACCCGTTAAAAGTCAAATAAAAAACAAAATATGCTGAAAATTTAATGCATTTTTCTGTGACCTAAATACTTCTTCTATTTAAATGCTTGTGAATTGCCGTCGCAGCATTTCATTATGAACAAAAATAATCCACCATTTCTCTAAAACAAATATTAATTGTAAATATATATAAAAAGTTGGAACTTAACTTTGGAACTTAGCTTAACTATTTTTTGTGCCAATAATGTAAAAAACATGTCACAGACTCCTTAATCAACCCCCGTAAGTTCTTGCCAAGACTTGAATGTAACTTTAGCGACTTAAGCAGAACAAGAGAACAAGAACAACATCGGCATTAGGAGCATCATCTTCTGCATCCCTATCAATTTCTGCGCTGTCCTTAAAAATTGATTCGTGTTCTCGGGTACAAGTGGCCCTACAAATTCCTATTAGAAATTGCTGCATGCCAGCTATTATTAAAATACTTAAGCTGCGCCATAATTGATGCAGGGTAAGGGTGGCCCGACTGCAAGTAGGGCATCGTACTTGATGGGCTCATTCTATGTTGTACAAGTAATCGTAACATTTTGCATAAGATTATTGCCCTAAAGTTTAAATGATTTATGCTTAATTCTTATACAAACATAATGGTTCATATGTGAGTTTCTAATAGTCCTTGGTAGTAATTGATATATATATATATATATATATATATATATAACTGCAACTGTGTGTCGACCTGCGTTTGTGTACTATATGGGCGAATTGTGAAATTAAAATAATTGTTTTTAGGGAAATATTCCATTCAGAATTTGATAAAATACCTGTCAAGTGCCATAAGAGCATTCTCATTCAAAACAGAAAATATATTTCGAAAGCAGCTTTGCAATGCCAGCTACAACTATTGCCAACACCAACACCAATACACAGGCACATGCGCGTTTACAAATGCGCGTGTCTGTGTGTGTGTGTGTGTGTACATGCATATGTATGCACATGCATTGAAGAATATTTAATGCTATAGTCAAATAGAAATTTATATGCAAGTCATAACGGTCCACGCACTGACACATAGACACACACACACACATACACACACACACACACACATATATATACAGCTGTAACCGCACAATTTGTAGTTTTTACTACTGCTTCCCTTGCTGTTGTTGTTGTTGTTGTTGCTGCGCAAATTATATTTTCATAAATATTTGAATGTGCTCAGAGCAATAAGGTTTTCAATTTTGACATTTGGGCATGGAATCCTCTGCCAGTATTTGACTGAGGCGGTTGCTCCTTTGCCAGTGCATTGTACGCATACTCTGTATGGATCACAACTAGTTTGAATAGCAGCCTCACACGTACACACACACTCACACACACACACACACACACACTTGGGAACAAGTTCATTCACACAGCTGTACGAAACACACCTGCCTGTTAGATTCGAGCGGCAACAACATTTTTCATAATTCAATACCCTTTGCATATATGTACATATGTATTCATGAATGTGCCCTCTGGCGAGTCAGGTGCTGACGTTGTTGAATTGTGCGGCCGATTAAATACCCATGTGTGCACGTGTGTGAATTTTACAGTTATTTAGATGCAAAAAAAGCCCCTGCTACCATATTTCACCAGACAGGCTTAGCCTTTGTGGATATTCTTTTGCCTTGCATGCGCAATCAATTGAATTTCATGGCAAATCTGGAAATAGTCATTGCCAATGGCCAGCTAAAGGTGTCGAGAGCACATTTTGTGCACTGCCCGAATATTGCAGTTGACATTTATGTGAATTTGATTAAGTTTTACAATTGCACATAAATATATATATATGTGGGTTAGGCACAACTACACGAATGTATAAGCATTTTCACATATAGCTTTACCCGGTAAAATCATTCGTGTTTCTCCTATTTCTCTAATAATTTTCTTTATCATCGAAATATGATTTATAAGCCATATAATTTTTCCGAAGATGAACAAAAAACTTGGCTTACTATTATTATGACTGGAATGTGAGAAGAAGGTATATAAACTATAAGATATAGAAACATAGAGGGATATTGGGATATAAGCCCCCAATGAAGGGAAAGGAGGACATAGCGTACTACTGTGAAGTACTTAAATGATAAAATTACGAGATGATTTATCGATCAAGAACAAAACTGTGGTTTCTCTCATAAATTATCTAAAGTATATAGTTGTTGTATTCCATATAAAATTGCTTTATACGATATCAGACTACAGCAGGAGTAAATAATTCGTATCTTGACTGATTTTTTAATATTTTTTATTTATAAGCTATGTTTCTGTATACTAATACCATTTCCTTTAAAAGAGTAATCGAATGTCTGTAGCTAAGCGAGTTCTGACCAATTTAACGTATGCCGTGCTTTAAGTGTCTTTTTGGGGTGTATCCCATTACCGGGGGTAAGTGTTGAAAGTGCCAAGCTCAGAGGAGTTGCCTCTGACGCAGCTTATTTACTGTCGACAGAATAAACGGCGGGCAGTTCATTGCCTGCGACAGTGTGCAATTTGTACAATTGGTGGCCTTTGGAGGCGGGTGAGGGAGTGGGGAGTGGGGAGGGGCGACTTGCAGTGGGCCAAATGAGCGCAAGTAAATAAAATTTACGGCCTTTTGTTGCTGCGGTGGGCCGCAAGTGTGCGAAATGCCGGTGGAGTTCGTTCAACTGTGGTCCAGAGCGAACGATAGGAGGGGTGCGGAAAAGCAATTAAAGCGATTGCGGACACACACAAAATGTAAATTAAATTTAATAATTGATGGCGCATAAACGCGAGGCTACCGCACTCTTACTCACCTTTGCACCGACTCTCGCCAGCGGACATTCTCGTTGGCCAGTCCGTTGACTAGCCTATGCGCCAGATCGATGGTAAAGGACGTCTTGTCCGCCTCCCGTTGGCACTTTTGCTTTTCGGCCACCGCATGCTCGAACTCGGCCTGGATCTCGGCCAGCTTGTCCTCCAAATTGTTTATTTTGGACTTGAGATACTGCAGTCGCTCACGTGCCTCGAACAACTCCTGCTGGGCATCCTGTACGGCTTGCTGCTTGGGGCCAACAATGAGGAAGACCTGATGATACCGATGCAGATTGATGACCCAGGCGCAAAGGCCTGCGGCTGCCACAGACTTTTGGACGACCTTGTCTGGATTGAACTCGGGATCCTATAAAAATTAGATGTGTTTCTCTAAACTGATGGACCTGACTTGTAATCAATGCACAGCCAATACTTTTTGGGAGGTCCACCTTTCCTTGGTGAAGCTGGGAGTCATAGATAGGCAACGCTTAAGGTGCAAATTTATATCCAAGAATCTTTTTAAAAATTAATTTAATAGGAGTGCTTCTCGCTTTTCTCAAAGTTAAACTCTCTTAAATGGAAAGTGTGCATATTTTAGGATTAGAAAAGGGCTTTCCCAGGAGGTTGGAAATTGTTTGGCTTGGGAGATAAGTAAGATTTGGGATTGGGGAAAAACCTTTACTATGTCAATTTTGGCTTTAGTTTTGCCAATTATGAGACCATCTTCTTCTTTCTCCAACGACCGCAGAAGCAGAGCCTTATGTACTGCGTATATAGATATGACATAAGCACTCACCTTGAGATATTCCTGCAGCGTCTCAATGATGTTTGGATGTATGTTGTCTTTGTTGTAGTTGAGCAAATCATTGAGAAACTGATCTACGCGCACCATCATCAGTTTAGCTGTCTTCCAGCTACGATCGCGCGGTATCTTACCATTCGTGGCCAGTAGAACCATCACAGCAGCGCATACGTTGACCACGGCCTTGGGCGGCGACCCAAAGGACTTTAGCTCGGTCAGGTTGTTTTTGTTAAGGGTGTTGAGCGCTGCCTGCGCAGCAACCAGAGCTGGTTCGGCCTGTCGCAAATCCTGTTCGCAGAGCTTGGTCTTGATCGAAACATCCTCCTCTATGATGCGTACACGTTTCTCCTCCTCGGAGGCTGTAAAGCGTTCACGCTTCACCTTCTCGCTCTCGGCACTTACAATGACGATCAGCTTATCGGCAGCCGCATTTTTTGCTGCCAGTTGGACTTCTTGTATTGCCAGTTGATGCTGTGTACCACATAAAAGAAAAGTTCTTTCTAACTCAAACTGAAACTTTAAAACTTTGTTGGCCAACGAAATTAATTAAAGCTCAGGCACGCTGGCCCAATATTGACACGGTGCAACTTTATCGCAGAAATTGTGGCAGCTCCAACATAAACACATGTGCACACATTCTACACAGCCACGCCTTATTATGTAATGAGTGTTCTGAACACGCACATGAAAACTGAAGCTGACGTCTGTGCTTCAATACAAACGAGTTCCATTAAATTCAATTAGTTTAAATAGCATTACGCGTCCTTTTTTTTGTTCGTCTGTTTCAAAACTTTTTGTTTAGCGCTCAAAAGTATGCTACAAAATAAATGTGATTGCCGCGACGCCATTTCCAGCATTGCGTATACGCTGCGTAACCGGAAACGGCTTCTGCAATTCAAAGAGTGCCATCATCGACACTCTTGCCATCACCGTCATTGGGGTCTACCCTACCTGGCTACCACCACCAGCACTTTGCACTCTGCGGCGAACGGGCAGCAGATTTGCTGTAACAACAATTCAATTAAGCGCACTAATTGAATGCCAGGCGCGGCTCGGCGCGACGCGACGATTCAAATATCGCAGCGCCAATGAAAAAATCGGACCTGCCACTTTATGGGCGCCGTCCACTATCACATACACTTCTCATACATATGTATGTAGGTATGCATGATGCACTGCCAAGGGGAAAAAAAAAGTATGGGAGCATAAAACGAGTTTGTCCACTTGTTTTCATTACAGCATTATTTTCTTTTAAGTCATAATTTATTGAATTGAATTAGTTTACTTTTAAAGCATTTGATTAAAATTTTTGGCTGTTTCACAAGTTCGATAAGACAATTTCATATTTATTTGCAGCACTTTTCGACATGTTTTAATGCATAAAAAGTTTGCAAAAAAATAATAATAGCAAAATCTGAAAACTTTGGTCTCACTAATCGAGTGTAATCTAGTGCACAATTTAATACAAGTTTATAAGATGTAAAAAATAAGTATTATTTTATGCCTACACTAAAGAGAATGGAACTTGATTGATTGAATTGAATTGATTTGGTTGATTTCACAGCATAAACAAACGGTAATGATTTATTTTTCTGTCTGAAGTGTTTTGAGATTTAAATATCTCATTGGGCTGTGCTCACCTAGTCTTAAATATAATTTTGTTAAAGGTTTGTTGTTATCAACTACTCACTTTGAGGGTGTCCACTTGACGCGCGCATTCGGCCAACTTGGCCATGCCGCTTTGTAGCCGGGCGATGCGCTGGGCGAACTCTCCGTTTTTGTCAACCAACAGCTTGCGGTACAGAAAAATATATTCCAGAAATGTTTTTGGTGTCGTGTAGTTGTAGCGTTTTTCATTCTGTAGATAAATTTTCGATATCTGATTCACCGTACCATGTACGTAGGCCATAAAGTAGCCAATGGGCGGTATGAGCTCGGGCTGTAAATGAACGCCGGTCACCATTTTACAAAGTAAAGAGTCGTAAATTGTATATTGCATAAAACACAGCCGTATATAAATAAAGTGAGCGCATCGTACAAACCTCTAATATGTCGCTGATTTCGGTGAGAAACTTTTGTGATACCGATTCCAATGCGCTCCTGGGCCACTCGTGGAACCAGTTAATGGCAGTGCGGCTAATAATGGCCGGGAACTTTCTGGCACGTATACGTAGCGTTTGTCCAACGGGGGAGAAACAGAGCACAATTTTGAGAAGACGTCGCACCTTCTCCACAAAATATCGCCAGCAATTCTCTTTAGTATCCAGTGCGCCGCTCTGCTTTACCTCATTGCGTATACCATTTATGATTGTGTCCAATTGATCATCACTGAAGAGCTCTGGTATCTCGCCAGAGGCGAGCATGTCATTGATCAGCATCAGTATGGATTCATCGGGCAGCTGAGCATCGGATATGAGAAACACAGAAGCCACATTTTTAAGTCCCACTTTCATGTATAGACTTGCAATCTCATCTCTCATATCGAGCAGCCCAAAGCCGCGTTTGATTTGAATTTGCGACACGCTCAGTGAGGAAATGAACGCGGCCAAGCGTGCCAGTGTCTGTTTGCCGGAGCCGCCGACTCCAATGAGCAAAGCATTGCCACGTGGACTCTCCAGGATGCGATTAATGCTGCGAATGAGACATAAATTATATAAAACTGGAAATGGGAGTCTTTTGTGCATAATTTGAATCCATCATCATACTCAAAAAGTGTATTTCAAAGGAATTGTTTGATTTACCGACATATGTGTATCATGGCATCCTCGAATAATACCAGATTCATGTATCCCACAATATCGTTATAGCTGGCCTGCGCTTCCAGCAGCAGTTGGTAGAGTGAATCCCAGCTCTTGAGTGGCATGTACTTCTGGTCCACAAGAGATTGCGCGAAATGACTATATATCAATGGCTCAGCAAAGACAAAATCCTCGTCGAAATCCTCGAAATCCTTTTTAAATATATCCCGTATGGAGGACTTGAACGATTTAATGTCATACTGATCGACCAGTCGGTCGTGGTACACTCGATATGCCTCATGCACATAGAGTCTCATCAGCTCGGCTGGTTTGCTGCAAACTGTGCCGCTGTAGCTGCTGGCAGCTCCGCCCGCTGAGACTGGAGCACCCACACTGTTCATCACGCCCTGGTAGATGTTGGTTAGGTCTCGCAAATTGAATATGTAGTGAAACTTAATGGCCGTCGGCAGAAAGGCATATTCGACGCGACGATGCAGAGCGATTCCCACCTGCACCAGGAGATTGCCAATGGAACGAATCTCCTTGCTGAAGCCCTGTGCCGGCTGCTCCAGGTGGTTGTTCAAGATCGTACTGTATATGTAGTGGAGAGTTTCCTCGCCGGGTGGTGCCACTGAGAACACACAAAAGTGACGTTGCAGGCGCGGATCGATGGTGAACGAGCCGGCGGTTGGATTCATGCAAGCCGCGAACTGACAATGACGAATGTCCTTCAGCTGGAGCTTCTGACGATCGTACCTAAATGTAAATGTAACAAAAGTACATTAATCTTGGTGAATTGCCACTCACCATTGCCTATAGTCCATGAACTGACGCATGATGGTGTGCGGTTGCACTGTGCCATAGGAATCTACCTCGGGCATGTTCAGGTCATTCACAAAGTAGATGAGACGTCGCTTCGGTCCGCTGGGCGCATAGCAGCGTCCAGATTTTTTCTCCAATGGTCGGTCGAGCATCTTCTGGAATATCTCTGATGTCGTATAGAAGTTGAAGTGTGTCGCCTGCACAGTGGTTAGCAACGGTGTCGAGCTGGATGATTTCCGACGCACGCTGACGTTTCCAACACCACCACCACCACCAACACCGCCACTACCACCACCAATGCCACCACCACCGCCGCCACCAGCGGCACCACCATTTACTACCGTCTGTTGCTGGCTGCCGCTGACAGCTGTCACTGCAATTTCAAGCAGCTCCTGTGCGCTGGCATATTTGCTGAAGAGCTCACGGAAGATGGCACCCTTGCCGCAGCCAGAGCTGCCGACCAGCATGCAGGCGAGATTGCGGTCGATAAGCAGCTTGAGGAAGTAGCCGAGACGTGTGGTCTCTGCAGTTGAAATGAGCACGTTCTGTGTGTAACCAAAGGCTTTGTTCGCATGATTAGTTCACTTCCAACTAGGTCAAGCACGCACCTGCAGCGGCAGCTCTGCATCGATTTGACAGTCGAGCTGCTCCTGAGCGGCCAGCTCGGACCAGCGTTGGAATTTCAATGTTTGCACATTAAGCTGATAGTCAAATACGGTGCCCTGACTGGGCAGTTTCACGTCCTTGAACTCGCTCGTCCACCACTTGTGAAACTCGCGATGCCAGTCTATAATTGAGTCCTGATACAAGGCCGAACCGAAGCTCCACATGGTAACATACACAAAGATCGTCTCTAAGGCCAGCTCAGCGGACTCATGTGAGAGTTCGCCATGGTGTAGGCTATGCGAATTGATACCGAGATGCTTCCCGCTGCTGCGTTCCGTCTCATCCTCGACTTGGTCGCTGTCCAACAGACATTCGAGCAGGTGACAGGTCATTTGTATCATGGCCATGTTGGCGATGGGCGTGATGCGACGAAAATTGTGCTGTCGTTGCATCAGACTGGGAAAATACTTCTCAAAGAGTGTGGTGAGGATGCCGCGCTCGATCATGTTGACACGCGTTTCCAACCAGGAAGAGACGAAGCTAAACTCCAAGCGTAAGTTATTAATCGGAAGAAACAACAAATTGGATCGCATAAGACTTACGGCGACCAGCCCAGATCCTGTGGGTTTATGTACAAGATGCCCGCCCTGGATACCGTGGCGGGTGTGGCCGCCCTAAGATGGCCCACCTCGAAGAGTAGACGCATCTCACGCTTTAATGAAATGCGCTCATTGCTGGCCAGCGTTAAGATCTTATTATCGTCCATCAGAGTGTTGAGACTCTCAATCCACATGGGATCAATGTCGCCATCGAGTACAATCCACTTGGGATTGCCCGGCGGCATATTGGCCTGCTCTCGCATTATGGACGAAAAGAGGCCGTCCTTCCACTCTCGCGTCGTGGGATTTACAATGCCGAACAACTCATCGTTGGACAGCGCTTTGGGATTAAGCACATGACAGACTGGCTTCAGTTTCTGTATGCGATACGTTTCGCGCAGAGTTTGCCAAATCTTCGTTTTGCCCGTTCCTGCATCGCCCACAATGAACACCGAGTGGCGGACATCCAATAGCTCCTGCAGCTGCACCACCTTCATGAGAAAGCCCTCCTCGGGCTGCAGTTTAATTTCGTTAACCGCACGTCGGATGGTCTTCTCAAACTCGAAGACACGCTTGCGCGGCACATCGAGGGCGGGAAAGAGGTCTCCTATCAGGCCCATAAATATGGGCACATCCTCGGTTACTATCTTGGGTATGTTGAAATCACGCAGAGCACGCATTAACACCTGATCCTCTGGACGGCTGTGGTCATCGCGTTTTAATGTGCCGGCAACGACCAGCACCGATTTGATGGCACGCAGGCCCCAGTCGTAGTGATCCTGCTTGGACAGCAGCTCCTTGCACAGCGTGTACAGTGTGATAAATTTGCGTGCCAGTAGACGTGCATCCTGGAAGCCCTCGGCCATTAACATAATCTCACAAATCAAAGCAAAGTCCGGCACAATCATGGCGCATGGGCGAAACAATGTTTTCAGGTTTTCCGGCAGTTCGGTTCGACCGGCGTAGCCCGGATTCATGGTGATAAAAATGCCAACCGACGGCTCCAGCGAGATGCGCTCGCCCATAAAGATAAATTGGGTTTTATGCATCTGTAAACAGCAGCAGCACCAACCAGCAGCAGCAACAGCAGCAGCACGACAAACCAACAGTAACAATCCGAGCCATGGGTAGATGGTACACCCATCGTCGTCCAGAGGCAGCAACCAGGGCACCGAGAAGAGAAATGTAATCAATGTGCAGCATTGCAAAGAAGTGGAAGGTAAAATCAATTTGCGAACGCTTCACGTCTCGCCGACATTGCGGTCGCACCTTTATCGCCTCCTGTATGGTCTTCACCTGAACGGCCACCACGGAGAGCACCTCCACGCAGATGCGATTGAACTCGTCAAAGCAGCCCCATGCACCGGTCTGGGCCAGACCTTTGTAAATGTTGCCGCAAGATTTGTAGTCCATTTGCTCCGAACAGTTGAAGACATAAACCATTACACCCAATGCGCGTCCCAGGTCCTTCGTTGTTTCCGTTTTGCCGGTTCCCGCCGGTCCAGCAGGCGCGCCTCCCATCACCAGATGCAGCGACTGACGGAGTGTATATGTGTGCGTGTGCGTGTGCGTGTGAGTGTGCATGTTTATGCAAAGGTATGCAAATTGTAAACGGCATTTATTTTCCACTAACGAGTTGTTTAATTTAAATACAGGCCAAATTGGCATAAAATCAACACAAAATCGAAACAAATTATTCTCGGGCCAAGCAACAATCACTAATTGGAATTCTACTTACTTTCCCTTAACATGATATACCTACATATGTACTTGCTTATTTAACTCACATATGTACGAAAGTATGCATGATTTATTTAAAGAGAAACTTAAAAGAACATTTTTCCTTTTGTTTCAAAATTGTGTATTAACTATTCAATAGCTATATAATTTTAAGATTACAAATTCGGGACTGCTCAACTGGGAGATGCTCTCCACTGTGGAAATGGATACGGCACCAAAAGATGGGCGAGTATTCAATAATTTAAACGCTTTTTCGGTGCACACTATTCGTTCTTTTGTTCAAGATTTTATCTTTTTACATTTATGAAGCACCTGTACAGGTATAATTAGACTGATTCTAGTTTATAAACATTCAGAAATAATCTTTATGTTAGTGTACATTGAAGGACATTAGCAAAACTGATTCTATTTCTACTTTATTATACAAATATTTTTGCCAGACAAGGAGATAAAAATAAACTATTTGCTTCTTTGGAAGTCTATAAATAGTTGTTGTAATAAAGTCCAATTAATTTCAAGGACTTACTAATTAGCAGTCGCCTTCATATAAACCTGTTGATATGAACAACTTTCAATAGTTATTTGCTATTATTTGGGTATGGGTATCAGTAAGTTCTTAATTAGATATCAAAATCTGCCCCTAAGTAACTTTATATTATTAAATTATCACATCAACTTGAAGCTAGTTCAATTTGCTTGAAAGCTTTTAAAACTAAATGAAAAAAATTCCACAATAATGCCCTTGGGTGTAAGGTTGAACTGTCAAGGTTCTGCTGTCAGACCCTTTTGCCTTATTTTTTGTTGAGATACAAAAAATGTAATAATTGAAAATAACTTTTAATACAAGTAGTAGTTACATGTTCAACGAATTTATAAATGCGGCTGGCAAAAGTATTTAAATTCAAACACCATATGAAGCTTGAAGCTAATTACAGATAATTAAAAGAGTGTCATCAGATTTTATACTCTAGAAAAAGGTATTTGATATCTGATCAAAATGTATAAGGCAAGGAACATAAATCTAGTATAGAGCACCCATTAGAAGCTTTAGTGTTTCTTAGAGCATCATTATTCATATTGCCTAGGCAAAGATATAATGACGCATATTTGACATATATCTTCAAGGGTATTTAACTGTCGTTACTCTAACCAAAGCTGCGATAGGCTTTTTGAGAAGTTTTTAATTAATAAAACCACAAAAAACAGCTTAAATTACATGCATAAACAAATAAAATGTATTGTATTTCCGGTTACTAAACCAATTCACTCAAATTTACATATATTCTCACACACTCAAGTCTGTGAGTTTCGCAAAATTGTTATTTTATTAAAATTGCGTAAGCAGGACCTTTTGTTTATTCAAACATCATGATTGCTGCTTGATTTATCGGAAATGATTAATTCTAGTGATTGGCTAAAGAAATGTATATTTTCAAGATAATGCCAGACGAATTTTTAAATTGCTTGAAAGTATTACTCAACGCAATGCAGTTGAATGGGAATGGGATTATTCTATACGTTTCTGGGAATTGTATCCCAACCGCGAAAATGTCTGCTCTCAGCGTATTAATAGCATCAAAAGGGCATTCTTGACTGTCATGTGGCGAGCATGGCTTTTATATTTTTGGTTACATCTTCCTGGAATTCATAAATTATTCAAGATATTTGGTTGGTGGAAAAGGTGATTGAAAAACTCAACGGATTTCGACTCTTCCAGCAGGTTTAACAATGTGGTTGGCTTTAAAATTAAGATAGTCAGTTATCTTAAACACAAAACAATTTTATGAGTTTTGTACTTAAAATTATATAATAACTATGCTGTAAAAGTATTTCTGAAAACGCTTTGTTATTATTTTAAGAAACTTTGATTTAATGAATGCTTCGATTACCAGTTCTCATTTCCATTGTCAACAAAAATCAAGTATGATTGCTGATCAAATGAAGATTATTTATGAGCGAAATGCACTGGAAATCTAGAGAGTAAAATTTCATTTTCTCAGAGCAAAATATTTTGTGGTTTGCATATAATAATAGTAACTAAATATAGACAGACATGTTATATTTTGTATTAGCTTCTAGGATCGGTTTAAACATTCTACGTTCTAAGTACTTTAAATAGGGTTTATTGACTCACCTGGGTCAGCGTGATGTAGCATCGATCCGTAAGTGGTGTGATCACCAGTCTTGAAGTATTGCCCAGGTACTCATAGGCATAGCGGAACTCGGCATCGCAGATATTGGCAAAGCAATCCTCATCGGCGCTGCCCGCGCTGATGGTTGTCGTGGCGCAGCCACTGGAGCTGCCCAACTGTTCATCGTCCCAGCGATGTCTCAGTTGGCTCTGCCACTGAAAGGCCAGAGAGTTGTCTACCTTGGTGGCAATGATTTTGCCAATCACGTCACGCGAATGGACATCAATGGTGCAGATGGTCATGATTTTCTGTCGATCACCTGAGGACAGTTCGCCCAGCAGCAGATTGATCAAAGCGTTCAGCTGCGCTATCTGTCGCTTGTGCAGCTCCTTCATGGCTCCCTCATAGCCCTCTTCCATGCTGGCGAATGAGCGATTCACATCCGCTGTCCAGCTAATCTGACTGCAGCAGAGCGCGACCTGTGCTGGCCAATCATAGAGCCATAGATCACGGGACTTCTCGCCGAAAGCCACGAGAGCGCGACGAAAAAGCTCATGTAGCGTGCTGCGCATCTGTTGGATGACGGCGCGCAGCCAAAGCTCAACGCGACCACAGCAGTCGATGTAGGCTGTTTGTTCTCGATCTTGGCTGACCACAAAGGCCACATACTCATCGTTCTCCTTGGAGTGCATGCCCAGTGCATGCGTGGTATTTGTCTCATATTGCAAGCGCAATATGGAGTCGAACAGCTTGATGAGATGGCGATCAATGACCTGAGGATTATTGCCATTAGAGAGTATGTCCAAGAGATCCGCGGACGAGATGAAATAGAAGCGTGGAAAGGCCAAACGCTTGGTCTCCAGATAGTCGTTCAGTGCCTTCTCGCAAACGGACAGGCGCTGCTGCAGTTCCAACAACTGCTTGAGCACATCCTCGTGCTGTAGCACCACCTCCATGACAACGCGCACGTTGGTAACCCGTGCTAGCAAATTGGTGAAGTCCTCATCAATGCGCTCAAAGTTTGCCGCGTCTTGCGGCAGCTGGGAACGTATGTCTGTTGAGCCGATGAAAATGCACTCCAAATAAATCCATTTACGCTGCACCTCAAACCAATTGACAATAAGCGTATCAATGCCACTCAGCACGCGCTGCCAATAGCCCAGCTTATCCAGCAAATATTCGATATGTTTTGATGTTGAGATATTTTGTAGCTGCATTTGATTGTCGTCAAGCGTTTCAATCAGCTCCTCTGATACTTTGAGCAGTCGCACAGTTGGACGCGTTTGATGCAGCTCCAATTCGAATTCTAATTGTGTCCAGGTGGCCTTTATATCGTCCAAGACTTTTGTCACCGTCATCTCTTTGATAGCGCGATCCACAGTGTTCTTGATGTCCTCTTCGTGCTGCTGCAGTTGCAGGCTTAGCAACTGTGCCAGAGTTGTCGATGTGTTGCACTTGTACGAAATCTGAGTGTTATAATTTATATTATTTTGATCAGCGTTTGAATACATTCAATTAGTTTCCCTGGAATTGATCGTCGACGAAATGTTCTACGCTTCGACAGTTGCCAATTTAGGCAGTTACATTTTACGGCTTTTGCAGCCTCGACTGAAGCAATTTGAACACTAATTTTCACAAATTTTGTGTGGTTTTCAATCTAGTACGACAATTCGGTCAGACAGCATGTAAATCAATATAGTCTGGTTGTCTATATTGCATTACAGCTTAGGTATTTATATTCAGCAATTATGTCAAATTTAATTACAGGCACGACAACCCGTATACAATACCTGACGCAGGTAATTATTAGTAATGAAATTCTCTTCTGAGCTGAATGGCTAAGCTGCCTCAGCTTTCCCCCTTCAAGTTATCATATTAATGCATTCGTCTTGCCAAGCTGTTCACTCAACCCATAAACCGTCCTGCAGTCACAACCATGGCAACGTTGGCAGCCATCCCATACAGTTGCTTATGCGTCATTAATAAGCGCATATTATCCGGGATTTGTAATTTCAAGAAGCTGCAAAAGCTTATTGAAGTTATCAAATAGAGCACATCCTTTCGCAAACTATTTTGACACTTCTTAATTTACTAGAAATTCATATTTCACTTACTAATTCTTCCACTTTATACTGTCCAATTAGCTGTAATAGACGAGGATTTCGATTTCACTTATTTCTTTCTATTTATTTGGTATTCAATTATATCTCGGGTAGTTAAAGTGCACGGTGATTATGTGAAATTATAAATGAGGGAAATAATGAATGGAATGAATGGATAAATATAATAATAAATAAATTCTAAAATATTTCTAGTTATTCAAAAGTATGGCGTGTGGGAAAATATAAGTAATCCTCAAGTCCATCAAATGACAATATAAAACTGTGAACTCATAAATCTATAGACATGCTAGCAGAAATATTCGGGACTTCCTGTGGGGGTTATAAAATAAATTCTCTCAAAGATCTTTGAAAATTAGCTTGAACCCGATCGGAAAGTAAATCGCTGAAACAAGTATTCATTGAGTTCTTGTGTTAAGCTTCGAAAATAAGTTTGTTGCAAAGCGGACAAAAGTTAAAATTGTGCCCAAATATTCTTTGAATCGCACTTTTTACCAAAGAAGGTTGGATTCTGTGAATAGTGTGAAACATGTCTCAAATGATTTTTTTGTATAATAAATATATATATATATATATATCACCCATTAAATCTGACCCCCATATTCACCCCTTAAATGAATGTAAACAAAGATCTTTAAAATGCAAACGTTTTTCACGATTTTACTCAACGTGCATCTTCATCACACAAGATAACTTCATTGAAATTTTCAGCTTCATAATTCTAACGGCTTGAACTGTTCGTTGATCAACAATTAGCCAGTCAGCCAGTCAGTCAGTCAGGCCAAACAGTTTTATATACAGAGATAAATGAGAAATTTGGCTTTAAATTTTTCATATAGTTAACTCGATTAAAAACGTGCTTAAGCCATTAAAGCCTACAGACAAAACTGTTTGAATTCAAAAGCCATTTTGATATTTATATAGCAATTGATAAAGAATGGCCTTTGGCGAAAATTGTAATAAAAATATTTTATTGTGAAATCTGAGTGGTTCTCTTTCAGTATTACTGAAAAAGTGGGAATTGAATTAATAACCGATTGGTGATAAAATAAAGTCACCAGATGTTTTCAAATTATATTATAACATGAATTTAAATAACACAAAAAAAGAAAGTGTGTTATTTATTATTAAAACGTGCTTTCATTAAATTAATTAAACAAATTAGCACGACCAAACGTTACATTTTGATGCAAAACAAACCATATGCAAACCATTTGGAAGCTTTACTGATTTTTACCCCAATAACCGAATAATATCAAAGAATTTAATCGAGACCAACATTTTTTACTGTGCGGGTGAGTCGAAAGCAATTTCGTACTTCAAAATTTGGAATGCTTGGTGGATTATAACTCCTGTAATGCGTGCTCAAACATCGCCCGGTAATGCGATTGGCAAATCCATGCGCCAAACCACACCAAGATGCAATGAGCAGACACATTGTAAAGCGGTGCCGTGCGGATCAATCAGTTGTAATTGCATCGATGAGCCATGATGATGATGCTGATATGGCTGGGGGTGGGGGCATGGGCGTGGGTGTGTGTGCGTGTGTGGATGCGGGGCTGGGAGTGGATGCGGTTGCTGGCATTACCTTTATTGACTGCAAACAGTACTAGCTGCGATTTCTTGTCCTGCTTACCTTTGACAACTGCATAAGCTCCAGCCAATGGCGTTCGGTAATTGCTGGATTTTGAAGCTCGGTAACTGCTCGCAGCGAGGCAACCAGCTCACGCAATACGCCCACAATGTAAACATAGGGGGCCCAGTCCCTGATGCACTTGTCAAGTGTGCGCAAATCGCGCGTGAACTTCTTACACTCGTGTTCCATGTCATCCGTATCGATTTGGAGCCAAGGTGTTGCATGCCAGTCAACAATGCAGGATTCGATGACGCGCACAAAGTCCCACAATTGCTGCGGGCGATACAAAAGCTGTCTTATCTGCTACACATCCACACATACAAACGAGCACGGACTGAGAGGCCCAAATTTGGTCGACATTCTGCTCACCTTTACACGTCTAAGTTCAGCCTTGCACTGCTGGAGTGTGGTCGTATCGGGTTCGGGAATGTTTAGCAGCCGGGCCCAGCACGCGTAGCGCCGCTGCTGGCAGGCAAAGCGATGCAGCCGCACGTAGACCTGGTCGCAGGCATCGTAAATTTGTGGACAGGGAACACGAAAGAACTGGGCGCGAGGAAAGGTAACGTTGGGCTTAATTCTGGGCAAACAGACCGGGATGCTGAATAAGGGCCGCACTCACCGGCATGCGCTGGAACTGTTTCGCATAATGTTGCACGTGGCACGTATGCAGACCAATGAGCGCTGTTACGCGCTGCTGTTGATAGTAGCGCGTGTCCTGGAGTGCCTCGTGTTTGGCCACCGCTTGCTGCTTCAGTTGCTGCCACTGCAGCGGCAGCTGGTCTATGTTGCGCACCAGCTGTGCCTCGAACTCCACATTGTAGGTCTTTAAAAGCGCAATGATGTCCTTGAGCGGCTTAAATACATTGTCCGCGTACGGCTCCCTCTGCCGTATCTCCGCCATAACAGACAGCACGCGCAGCAGTGCCTTGAACTCCTGGCGTGCGATGTGCAGCTGCAAAGTCTCATGGCTGCGCGCGATGAATGCGTTTAGCTCCTGTTAAAACATATTAGCTTTTTGATAGCATACTTTTTGGGGCTGCCTTCACCTGAAGCGTCTTCTGCACATAGCGCAGCAGCCACTGCTTGTAGAGGTGCGACCATTTGCAGGTCAGATTGAGCAGACCATGCTTAAGCGGCTTCACGTCCAGTGCCAGCCAGCCGTTCAGGCAGTGGCGACTCTCGCACTGGTCGATAGCATCGTGCAGTTCGTTGTAGCGCTCGATCTGCGGAAGAGATTGGGCAAGATGTTTGGGGCGTTGACAACTTCATTTGCCTGGGCTAACCCAAATTTATTTAAGCTAATTTAGCGCATATGTGTGTGCGTGGTCGGAAGCCCAATTCATGTGCCATTTACTTGTATATGCGTACTGTGTCCAAGCGAAGCATTTATTAAGCGCACCAGCTGCGCCCGAGGCGACTCTCAATGGCCGCTCATAAATAAAATGCCGGTCAGTGATTTTAGTTGCCCTTTGCTTGTCCGGGTAATATACTGATAACGTAACTCTGCGCATTAACTAAACTGACAGACTGTACTTGTCTTCATTTGAACGAGGACTTCAAAGACTATTGAAGTTTATATTTTAAGTTATTGTGCAGGCAACTATCAAAAATTTTAACTTTTCAGTTGAAAGGAGAATTGAACTTGACACCCAATGAATTGAATAAGTAATAAAATAATATTCTATTCTCATGAAAGTTTAAATTATCAATAAAATAAATTCGAATATTGCAAACTTTTATAAAAATTACAACTAACATGGACTTTGACAGGTGCAAAAGGAAACCCAGGGCAAGTTGTTGTTTACGACAAGGGTAATATGTATGTTGTGTGTCTTACACTGTAACAAATGCATTATTTGTTATTATTATTTTGTTTTTTCTTTCCTGTTAAATTGGAGTAGAAGGGTAAACAGGATTCGTTATATGCTTCCCGCGAGTCTCTCACATTTTATTGTGGCACTCAATTCACAGCCTCACGTTGAATGTACATGCATTTCGACCATGATTTGTTGTTGCTTGTTTGTCTGCTTTGCATTTTATTTGTGTGCGTGTGTGGTGTGTGTGCTGCGGAGTCTTTATGTAATTTATTGCATACTTTTTGGGGCGTTTGATAATTGTTTAAAGAAAATATTACGCATACGCAAGCGATTTGCCTGCTGTAGTCACTGTACTGAATTGTTCTGTGTGTGTTGGCATAAGTCAGAGGCGCCGTGTGGTTAAGCATTTTTGGCTATATCCAGATTTTGGGCAAAGCCGGCGAGATGGCCCGACAGCCGATTCGGCCACACATTTGACCCTAAATGGTCGACATTTATCAAGCGTTATTGGTCTCAGGGGTTACACAACGTAAATTGTGTGGTTGCCAATTGAGTGACCCGGCGAGCCACTCGGTCACTAGTGCCTCCATCTGTCTGACCCCCCGCCAACCCCGGCCCGAGGGCCGTTCAAAGGGTGTGGCTGTCTGTGTGCGTGGGCGCATCGGTGCGGCATTTGGCTTTGCCTCGTGCTTTGGGGCACACAGATGTTCGTTGTAATTTTTTTTTTCTGTTTTCCTTACCTCCTTTTTGAAAGTCTCCATGATGGCATAGCCACTGTCACTGATGTGGGTCGTTTGTTCACGCGCCGTCTGCATGCAGGACGCCAGAACGGCGCCGCTCTGCTGTGTCCAAAGGAACGCATAGGCGTGGAATTTGGCAGCATAATTCAACGCCGCCTGAACCGTCTGCGCCAAGGCGTTGCGTATGCTGGCGCACAGCATTTCCAAGTCATCAGCTGCAACTGAGAGTGTGTTAGGTGGTATAAGCGAATGCAAAGAATGCGACACGCCTGCCACGGAAAAGTACTCCGCAGTACCTTCAGCGATGCCAGTGCCAATGCGACGACTGGTGCATAGCGTGCTTGCCACGGCCAGCATATTGTGTGGGACGGGCTGCTGCTCCTTTTGCAGTAACTGCTTGAACTTACCATCGTGCCCGTCGCCGTCGTTGTCGTCGCCGTCGTCGTCAGACAGCGCATTGTCAGACACAATTCTTGGCATGCAGTCGCATGTCTGTTTTATATCCAGCAACAGCTGCTCGACAATTTGTTGAAAATTATTTTCCACACTTGCATCAAAGGCAGGCGAAAAACGTATTTCCGTTTCCGTCAGCTCCAATTTCACTTCGAAAAGCGGTGCATCGTTTGTTGCTGTTGCCCCGGTTGTTGTTGTTGTTGTTGTTGTTGTTACTGTTGTTGGTATTATTGTCGCTGTCGCTTGTGGCGTTGTGATTTGTTGTAACACCAACCTAGCCATGCTTGGCAAGGCCATATTTGAAGTTGGGGGCGCTGTTGGAGTTGCCTCAGCGGTTGTTGCAGTCGTTGTTCCAGTTGCTGTCATTTCCTTGTGCAAATACTCTAAACTGAATTACACGGCGTATGAGTAATGCGAAAATTAAATTTAGTGCTGAGTTTGTTTTGTGCTTATTTCGTTTGCGTTTGCTGCTGCTGCCTCTGCTGCTGCTGCTGCTGCTGCTGCCGCTTCTGAGGACTCTGCATGCAATCACGAAGTGCCGTTAAGTGAAACATGCAATTGACGCATGAATGCTCTGCCATCAGCAACTTGTTGTTGTTGTTGTTGCAGTTGTATGTTGTTGTTGGCTGTTGTCGTTGTTGTGTGTGTGTGTGTGTGTGTGTGTGTGTGTGTGTGTTTACTGCGGTCGGTGTTGGTGTAGGTGTAGGTGTCTGTCGCCTTGCGGTTACCGTGCGCGAATGCGGGTGAGCTATAAATTTGTGTTCATTTACTTGATTAGTTTTGATGAGACATGAAAGGCGCTGGCAGCCTGCCAAAGTGTAATGAATTTATTTGTTGCTCGCTGATGTGGGTGGCTTGTATAATTGTATGACTGGTTGTGGCATGGCTGAGTGAGTCGTTTTTATTACTTTGATATTAAAAACAGGTGCTACCTGAAAACTTATTTAAATGGTAGTTATAAAAATTGGTATGAGTAAAAATATAAGAAGTTTAAAGTGCCCGACTGAACAAGAGGTTGATATAAAATGTAATTTTCATCCGATTATTCCTATGGCTGCAATACGACATAGTCGTACGCTGCGTGAATGCTTGAGACACATTGAAAAATATTTCATTGCTTCACCGATTTTTACTCTTTACAGTACTTTATTAAATAAATTTAATATGTGATTAATATTTTAATGCGTTTAAATAATGAAAGCATATAAAAAAATGTTTAAATTGTTTTGTGCTATGATGAACATTTTTCGATTTAATAACTGAAAAGCCTAACCTGATCCTCATGGCCTGACGCATTTCACGGCAAATCAACTCATCAACAGTGGCCAAATATTTGTTAAACTGTCGGCGTTGCTCATCCGGAAATTCGCGCACAAACTTTCGATGACAAAATAAACAATAGGGATACTTATAACAACGTATTTGGATCAACAATGACTACTCACCTCCTGCACGCTCAGGTCACGTGAATACAATTGAAATTGCTGCGACTCGTAGTTGAAGAACAAACAAAAGTTGGCAATCAGCAAGCGATTTAGCAGCATCTTCGTCTCATCGCACTGCAGCAAACGCAGACGTACACGTTCCTGCTGATGCCGCAGATCGAGCAGATTGCGACCATAGAGACTACGCTGATGCAGTGGGTCGCGGCTCCAGCGACGCATGCTGGTCAATATGGCGTCCAGATTGCCATGGGACAGTTGCAGACGTGCATGCAGATCGCGCGACTTCTCGAATATGCACTCGATGAGCGTTTCATCTGTTGGTGCAGCTCAAAAATGTTGCCTACATAAACTTAAACTCACTTACCATAATTGCGCCAGGTTAATTGACCACAGGCAGTTGCCACTTGAGCATCGATGGCCGCCAGCTCAGTGGCAATTAGTTGCAGCTCAGCTGCAGCGCACTGGCCAGCTCGGATGCCATTGTAGAACTCGTCAATCTTGATGAGCCGTATGCGTCGCCGCCAGTAGGCATCCCGTTGCTCGTAAAGTGACAGCAGCGCCTCGGGCATTGGAAAGAGTTTGCTTGAAAGGCTGCCAGAACCCTGCAGAGCTAGCAGATATTTAGTTTCCTTGAGCAGCGTAAAGAGCGCCTGAGCGAAATTCAGCTGCAGCTGCTCTCCGGCTGCCAATTGAATCAGCACGGGCTCGTCCAGACCCTCTGCTATGAGCTTGTCTATGTCCTGCTGCCAGCCGTGCCAGATCTTCAGCTGAAGATTGCACAATTTTGTGGTCAGAATGTTGCGACGTGAAAGCAATGCATCCCATTGAAAAGGCAGCGTTATAAGCTCCGATTTTAGTGCTAACCTATAAAGTATAGAAGTTTTTAATTAAAAAAAACTACTTTATAAGATTTTTCACGAAAATATTGAAAACTGACTTATGTATGCGTGGATTTTCTTCAAAGTTAAATCAATATTGTGTGGGTCAGCAGAACTTAAAAGAGGAAAGTAAAAGTGTCTAATATTTCCCAGAAGGACAAGATTACAAATCCTTTTTCCCGAATCAAGTCTTATTATTATTCCCTTTGGTTCTCAATGTCACACAATAAAGCGGTACTAGAAAAGTATTTCTAAGTCACATGTCCACAAGAGTATTTAACCTTCGGCGTGCCGAAAAGAGTCGGTATTTAAATGCTGCCGATTGGACCTACAATGTCTGGACGAGCTCAGTTAGATCCCTAGCGCCCAGTTCATCGCAGCGATGCAAGTGCTGCTCAAGCCACATGATGGCACCAGCAATTGGGGGAAAGTTTCCAGCTACGGGCAGAGCTTCGAGTGCATGGAACTGGTAGTGCAGCAGCACGTCTGTCACGCTCTGCTCCAGCTGCTGCAGCTCTGCATTGTAGACGTTGAGCATGTGTGGAAGCAGACGCACGAGCTCCAAGTGCACGGTGCGGCGCTGTAATAGGCAGCCAAACATAATCGTCAGCTTGAGCAGGTGGATCCAACTGTGGCACTGCTCGAAAGCCTGCAGCAGTACGGTGGCCAGCTTCTGTTCCAGCTGCTGCATGCGCTCATAGAAAAGATATTGCTCGCGCTTGAAGCATTTCCATTTGTGGGCAGCGGGCGCTGCGAGATCTATATCTACATTGGTCCACTGCTCGAAGAGCAGCTTGAACTCGTTAAAGATCTGTAAGATAGGGAAAAGGGAATTTGCAAAATCCTGGAAGGTGGAAATTTAAACTTTACACTTACCTCTCTGATGCGGTCCGTGAGCAATTTACCACGCAGACCGCCAATTTCAAGCTTCTCCAGTTGCTGAAATTGAACAGCCGCCTCGAACACATGTCGAAGCTCCGTTAGCTGCAGCAGAAATCCGTCGAGTGTTTGGCCAAACACTTGCTCGTTGGAGAAGCGCCACAGCTGCTGCTGGTCGTCCGGCGTTGGGGAAGTTTCTGCTGCGGCCGCAGCTGAAGAGCTCGGCAAGGCTGGCAGCAGCACTTGGCTGCTTGCATAGCGTTCCTTGTAATCGAGCATGCGCTGCCTGGGCAGCCATAAATGGCCAAGAGTGTTGCTAAACTTGTGTATCTATAACTTTTTTATTTTGCTTACCTGAAAAACTCCAACACCTCGCCAGTTTTCTTGATCTTCTGCAGGCCCTCATCGGCGTCGCCCTGGAAAAGCAGCGGAAACTCCAAGTCCTCGGCGGCGCGATGAACTAACATGTTGCACATGCAACGCAGCAGCACACTCATCCTTTGTGTGCTGCGGTAGAAGCGGGCATTGCTCCAGAGCAAGTGCAGCACATGCACCAGCGGTGCAATCAGCTCCTGTGCATTGCTGAACTGCACCGAGTTGAATGCGGCTGTTTGACGCTGCAGTGGCTGCAGCCAGAGTGAGACATCCTGTGCCTCCAGCCAGGCGGTCAGAAGCTGCCGGAAAGCCTTTGCATAGGGCTCATAATAGACAGACTCAATGCGTTCAAGTATGTGCGCCAGTGCCTTGTGCATGGATTCGCGCAGCTGCTCGTAAATGTTCTGCAAATTGAGCTTTCGATTCGTCCAGAAGGTAATTTCCTGAGCGGGCAGCGTAACCACATGGATATGTTTGGTGGGTGCAGTGGTGCACGCGGTCAGGCCAATGGATTCCGAGCGTTCCATAACAATGTCGTGCATTTGTGTTGTCCAATTGATAAACATCTCCTCCAGAAGATTACGAAACTTGGGATCCAGGGCTGGTCTTAGATTGCTATTGGTGTGCAACGATAATTAAAATTGCCTTTTTTTTAAATCCTTTCAATTCCGACTCAACTTTGGCAGCAATTGAACGCAACTTTTTTAATGGGAGGGGGAAACAATTGTTGACCTAATTCTTAAATAGTTGCGCTTGGTAATTCTCCATCCCGCTCATTTACACATTTTCTCCATTTAATTTTGTTGGATTTGTTTTTGCTTTTCTGCTTACAATGCTGCATATAAAATTGACCTACATTTATTTGATTTAATGGCTGATTTCCATGATAACATCTGCAGCTTTTTCATTATTTATACCCATTGAAGAAGTGGAAGGCAAGTAAGAACGCCTGACTAGGAGATACCCCGTTACAAACATGCAAGCAAAGGCACACAAAAAGACACTAAATAAACACTCAGGAGCCTCCTTCTTGCAGCAGTTGTGCTTATTCTTCTCTGAAATATCTTCGGTGACTTTAGTCCGAACTTAATGATACTGCTTTTACTAATTAATACAAATAAATTATTATATTAGCGCTCAAGCTTTAGCTTTTAAATTTTTGTTATACTGTGTTCAATTATGAATTTGTCTATATTATAAGATATGCCAAATAACAGGTTTAGTGAATTCAGCCCTTTTGAATTTAAAGGTAACCTTAAACGTCCATGTTTAAAAATCGATATTAGGTTCTCGATATATCATGTGTAGCATTCAGTTCATTTAGATTAAGCGATTATCTTTCCTGTTAGCGCAAAAGCCTCGCATTTTTCGCGACAAAATTTTGTTGGTAAATTTCAAATTCTCTCATTTAATTTTCTATTATAATGGAATGTGTACTGCTTAGAAGGAGACATCTCAGAGCCCATATAACTCAAATATTCTATATCAGTATTATCGTCCAAATCGTTACCGTCATGTGGGTCCGTCTGCATGTCCGTCTCTTCCTATGCCAGACACTTTCTTTCTTATTAAAATGGGACTGTCATATAACTCTATCTGCATTTTACAAGGGTATATCATCTTTGGCGTGCCGACCTCTGGACCTCTTATCTTTCTATAGCTATTGATTAGCAGTCTCAATTTGTGAAATATTGTTGTGATATTTTTGTTTATTCCCTTAGGTGTCATGTCAATCTCCTTGTTTTTTTATGCCTTGATATTTCATGCATCAATTTAGCAGCCAACTAACGCACTTCATACCTGTTCACAGGGTATCTGCTCATCGTGTATGGCTGATTAATATTTTTACACTTTATTCATGCAACATTTTGTGGTTTACTTTGATAGCTTGTATGCAATTTGAAGCTGATTAATTTAAATGGTTTTCTAGTTAGGAATTCTTTTATATTGGCTTTAAGACAATTCGTCGACTCGATACATTCATTTGCAATTAGTCGTATTGGTTTTTAGTTAAAAAATTTTGCAAAAAGCAATCAAGATTCTGTAGCTCTTAGAGTAGTTGGCCAAATTGAAAATTGAAATTCAACTTTGGGCATTTAACAAGTTATTGAAAATACATAACAAATTTACGCAAAATCATGCGATAAAGTTGTGTGCTCACAAGTTCGCTTTATACGATTGCCGCCCTCCTGCCCCGCCCTCTTTCAATATAAACAAAGACTTGTAGCCAGCAGCGATGACGCAGCAGCTGTAGATGGTAAAGGACGCAATACATAGCCCCTGAGACAATGGCCACTGAGTGTGACTAAAGTTGGGGCACGGCTTCTACTTACCCCCGGTTCACGTGAGCAGACACTTCCTCGACGATTGTTGGCGAAACTAATAACGATAAAATTGTGCGATTGTTGGTTTTGCCCTTAATCTGTGGGGGATAACAATAAAGTATAAATAGCGCTTATAGACACATGAAAACTTTGCCCAATTAAACCAAATACATTGGGACAATGGTAAGCTCTCTCGACTGGCGGCGTCCCTGCTCGCCTCGCTGCACTCAATTAGATTAATATGCCAAGATAACAGACTTGGACCCACCTCGGTCAGCGTGTTGCGCACTTCCTTGACGCGCGCCTGCAGATCCTTGCGCACAGGCGACGGCCACACGCCCTGAGCCTTGTCCAGCAGCGGTTGCAGCACCTCGTCGAACAGCAGAGACATGGTCTCCATTTTGCTGTGCACTGGAAAGTCACCATAGAGCACTGAGCTATGAAAATTGCTAGCTGTCAGCGGTACGTCTACATTGTGGCGTATGAAGTAGGCGCACTTGCCGCGCGGTACCCCATCCAATGTAGTAAAGCTGGACGAAGCGGGCGGCAGTGGAACCAGTAGTGCTCCTGTGGTTGTTGCCGCCGCCACCACGGCAGCCGTAGCAGTGGCATCATTTGCCGCGCTCACCCGTGAGCCACAGCTCTGCAGGGTATAGTTTCGGTATAGGTCGCTCACACAGCCTCTGGGCACCAGTTCGCCGCCTGGACTGAGCGTCATCACCAAAACTCGTGTCCGTCCGTGCAGCCAGTCCAGGACGATATGCTGCATTGGTAGCCAGTTTTGTTAGTCGTGCGAATGCAATGTGCGAAAATAAAGAAAGCATACCCGGAACTCATCGTGCGCCATCATTTTGGCCCACTTCTCCGGTTTCAGGCGCATTGTGGTCGTGGTGTAGGCGGCCACGCGTTCCAAACGAGCGTCACTGTAGTCCGGCTGAGCGCTCGGATGGTTGCCAGCAGGCGTGAGCTCCTCATCGCTGCTGGCCAGAGCCGCAGCATCGGCTGCGGACACGGCCATAAATGGACGGCTAACAGAAAACAGTAGCAAAACTGCTACCACAAGGCAAACGAATCAATTGATGGCACAAATCAACAGCTCGACGCGGCGTTTGCTGTTGAAATGATTCTGACCCGCAGGCATTCGTATGACCTCTAATGCCAGGCCTGTTGGTGCAGCTGGTCGCTTATGCGCACCGCACCGCAGACCCAGGCCGTGCCGCGTATCGATCAAACTTCAAACTCAAATTAAAAAAATTATTTTAAAGTGTGTGCATTGTTTTAATGCGCCACCCAGCGAAGCTCCACTTTCTAATGCAATGGGCAAAGTTTGATGCCAGGCTGTTGGGTGCGCCGCCCAACGGCCGCCCGTTCAATCGCCTCGCTTTAATTGCTCGCCTGCACTTGCGAACTAAGCGAAATGTAATTTCCGCTTGCCAGCAGGTTTTTGTTAGCCAAGCGCTCATAACTCAACATCAACAGCAACATCAACATCAAAATCCACACCAAAATTAGACCATCGCCGCGATTGACAAGGTGGCAGGCAGGCGGCTGGCGGCTAGCAATATGTTCAAGTCCATAAATCTGTGCTGCCGTAGCGCTATAGCTATGTATGCAAATTTTGAGCTGGCAATGAAAATTGCTTTCGCTGTTGGCGCAGTCATCCGGGCGTATGCGTAATATTTGGCATTTAAACTGAAATGCCACAAGAAATGTGCTTGTAATGCTTCAAACGCCAGCAATGACCACTCTATACTGCCGACTCACACCAACACACCCACACACGCACACACATTTGGCACATTAAGTGCTGCATTATTGCTGTTGTCAGCACCAACAGCCTACAACAACAACAACAAGAACAACGGTGGGCAAAGCAAGTCAAGTGCATTTTATGTTTCGCATACACAAAGTCAAATCCACACCAGCTAGCTTGCAGCCCCGTCTTGCTGGCACTGCTGAGCCTTCCGCTTGGCTACGCTCAAAAGCTAAGCGCACGGAATGAGTGACTGACTGACTGACTGACATGTGTCAAGTAACAGCAGCAGCAGCAGCAGCAACAGCAGCAGCAGCAGTGAGTGCTGCCAGCATGCTTAAAATGCTACGCAATTACCGCAAGTACACATAGAAAACTAGTTGCTATACTTTGCTGAGTAGTGCTCAGCTAAAGGATGCCCTACAGTGCTTCCATATAGTATACAAATTTACGAATGCTTCCAAAATCTATTACTTTTCACTATACTTATACGAGAGCTACTTAAATCTGATTTATGCAAGCAGGCAAGTGAAACTGCATAGGGGTTTCAGTTTGAGTCATCTCTTGAACTCTAAGAATCGCATTCTTAAAGAATGCACCAAATATTCGCGTTGTATTGAATTAATCAGAGCAAAATATAATAATATTTGTATTTAATTTTTTTTGCCCACCTCTTCGAGCAATTTCAATATTGAATTCTTTCATAAATGAATATTAACTTTTACCGTAAATTAAAAAATCAAATTTTTGCGTCCATGCTGACCGATACCTTAAAAAATGGGTCTTGCAAAAAATGTGTTTATTAACAAATAAAACAACTGACTATAAATACCCTGGAGCTGTCTGTAAACGATGCCTCATATTAAGAAAATCTATAGGGCAAAAATATACGGTCATCTTTCTATCATTTAGCTTTTCCTTTGGAAAATTACACATTTTCTATATAATAGTGCCACACAAAAATTTATTTTTTAAAATACATCGTAAGCCACAATAAAATGGCGTGGACCTAATTTCCAGAACTGGTCCAAGTGCATGCCAAAGTATATTAAACTTCATGTACAAATAAGTATATTGAAACACAATTGGGCCATTTTTAATAATAAATTGCATTATTATTTCTATCTACTAATAACTATGTAGCGAGTAAAATGAACAAAAGTTTGATTGATATTGATATTGAAAAGATCAACTTATGATAAAATCTAGGAAATGGCCATTAGTATCTGATTAAATGTACCAAATTTTTTTAACATTTATGTCAACAAAATTAAAATATATTTAATTTTTTTCTGGGTGCCACCTTATAAATGTATTCAAGGCTTTCTCTTCCAATTGGCGTTAAAAAGTTGGCTACAGGGTATATCATCTGTTTATGTATTATAACGGCCCGGCTTAGTATATAAATGTATATAAATATATTATATACATTATGTATGTACATTATTTGTATATATTTACAAAAAAGTCAAACTTCACTTTTAAATATCAGCGTCGCATCAAAAACAAGCACATGGCAACCCGCTGCTATGCTGAATCCATTCCTCAACTGCGAGGCACCCTCGGGATAAATGCACTGCCCTCATTTTTAGTGGCAGGCGCAACTGTTGCGGTCTTTGTGGTGTTACTGGTAACTGGCAACAGTGAATAGCGTGGGAAGCAGCAAGTTTTCTGCTAATGAATTTGCTGAAATGGTTTGCATCTGGCTTGAATTTAACTTAACCGCTGACTGACTGCTGATGGGTTGAAGGTAAATTAAATTCCTTTCATTCGGCTGGTTGCGTCAATAAGGATTTTCTATATATTTTTATTTTTATTTACTTTTACATTGAAACAGATTATGTTACATAAGTAGTTGGGCAGCTTTTCATTCATCAGCTGGCGGCGACAAAGGCCAGCCAATGCTCCATTTGTCCGCTTCAGATTAAATGTCAAAATGAAAGTGGTTCCATGTTGACTGCAAATTATGTGCATAAATAGTGCCGTGGACAAAGTCAGACCTTAAAAGAAAAGCTGTGCAGGCAGCAAAAGGCAAGCGGGCAAAAAAAAAACCGCAAGTCCCAAGAAAAATATACGCCAAATTGATTTTAAAGGCAGTTTCTTGATGGTCGAGCCTCACTTCAAATTAAGTAAATCGCAGAAAAGGCGCACGTTGGACAGCGGCCGGCAGTGAGCCATGAATAATGAAACTGGAAAATGCTTTTACTATATTTTCTTTCTGCAAAGCTGTCGCACTGGTTACATATTCGTAATACCCTGTAATCAAGCCAGCTGACCAAATGTACTTCACAAACAGAAACTAGCTTTATCTAAAAGAAGAATATTGTTTCTTTATCGCGCTTAGTATTATAGTTAGCCGAATTATCTGGTATCTGCCTGATCACTCGATCCTTCGATCAGTCGAAAGAATGATGCCAGGCAGAAAGTTCACCATTTTGCCATTAGGAATACAAAATTTCCAAAAAATAACCAAATAATGCCTTGACTTTTCATACTGTTAAAAATAAATGTTGTGTAAACGCCAAGGAGTTAAATTTGCGATATGATTAAGTTATCAGACAAACTATATTCTAATATATAGCCTGTTTATCTTCATGGTTATAAGAAGGGAGAGTGTATAAGAATAGTGGGCACTCATAAATCTGCACAAATATATAGCTTAAATGAAGATTACTTTTATAGAGCATTTCCCAGACGTGCATTTTCCACCAACTTATTTTTATTCGCCTTTCTTTTTCTGAATTTATGCCAAGCCAATTCACGCCACGACGCGAAACCCATTGGCATCCCCACACTAGACCTTCGACCTTCTGACCCCATCCTGAACGCCTGCCTGGGCTGTTGTAGTTGCTGATGAGTTTCATTATGTGCGAACAAATCATCACATGCCAACGGCAGCGCCAGCTGAACGAAGCGGTGATGCAGGGCCGCGACGATGCCAGCCAGACTGCACGGCGTCGGGCTCGTTTAAAAGCCATTTCGTGCATTTGTTAAGGACGCTCGACTTTGTGCATGTATGCGTGTGTGTGTGTGTGTGTGTGTGCTCGCGGAGAAAGTCAACACTATTTCATTCCAACAAAAGCCATTTGGGCGAGATTATGAGAGCACTGGGAGCATCTATTTAAAGCGACCACAGTGCGTATTAGTAATGTGACAGGCCATTCAATAGGATGAATTAAAGCTTATGGCCACATGCCGCACATAAAATACGCTTACAACAAGCTGCACATAGCTTAAATAAATAAAAGTTTCATTAAAATATCACATTTGGTTAACTCAGTTAACTCAAATCAGAATATATATTTACCTGAGGCTTATCAACAAAAAATGGTAGAATGCGAGGTTTGCATATCTATGCTGAGTGTCATAGTTGTAATGGCATAGTTAAAGTACCCCGCGAAAGGGCAAACAACAGACAAAAAGTTGGAAACGTCAACAAATCGATCAATGCACAGTTTTCCATTAAAATGCCTCACAAAAAAAGGAGAGCGTTGCCAGTGCCAGTGTAAACAAAACTGGCAACAGGACCAATTGGTCCTAGTCCCGGCCAGCTTTTATCGAATGTTGGAACAAAACCAGTTAGTCCTCCCAGTGGCAGCGGCGGCAGCGGCAGCAATAACAACAAATACAATTCTTGGTGGCTGTGTGCTGTGTGCAGCCTAACGACAACATTCAATAAACAATTCACAATTGATTGACAAACGGACAGGCGGCCTTGTCATTTGGATGCACTGCTGGCGATAGACCAGAGGCAGAAATTGTTGGTCCTGACGATGACAAGTCAGCGGAAGGATGTTAGTTCAAGTGGATGAGGAAGTCGAAAGGGAATGCTGACAACAAACTCGACAAGAATGCAGCACGACAAAAAAATTATATGAACAAAAAAATCACTGACAAAAAGTCCGAAATCCCAAAAAGGGCAAGCGCGCCTGGCACAAGTGAAAACAATAAAAGCAAATTTCAGACCGGACATCCGCCAGCGATTAGGCAACGCCTTCGGTATATGAACAGTGGTAACAATTCGATTTTTATGAACCTGTCAAACGTTAAAATGCCATTTTCTATTTGTTGATTGTAAAGACTTTACTTTTTAACAGTGGCTGTCAACAGTCTCTTGTTAAATGCGGATGCAGGCTACGATAACCAAGGGATTTTATTTCTTCCAATGGTCTATCAGTCTGTTATTGAATTTTTGCCATATAGCACATAATTCAGACGATTGCCTTATAATCAGAAAACGGGTCTAAGGAGGAAAACGACTGCACAATATTGTTGGGTGTCCCCACAGTACAGCGTTTGGCAGCGGTCCATGCTGAATGGCTTGTCCACGCTGAC